ACGACCTTCTAAAAGTCACGGATGCAGGCTGCATAGAGCATAGCTGCAGGGAGCCAAAATCCGGCAGTGGACGTCCGTAGGCTGAAAAAAATAATCGTAAAAGGTCTATTCTAGCTACGCTCGGACGAGAAATAATAGTTAATTAATCACCAAAGACCAAATCATAAGGAAAACGCTTGATTGAAACGATTTCATTAATAAATTTGTTATTTTCAAATGGACTAACTACATCGAAATGACTTGTCTTTATGAAAATTTCCAAACATTTAAAAATAACAATAAAATCTTGTATAGACACATCACGAACTCATACAACGATAAATTCATTATTAACATTGATAAACGTAAGTCTCAATTACATTGGCCTAGGATGGATGGCAGAAAGGGAGACATCAACTTAGAAAAGCTGCTGGTAATAGGCAAGTTATACGGAAGAAGGCCCAGAGACAGAAGTCCAATACGCCGTACAGAACCATTACGCTCTACTCCCAACACCTCAGTCCGTGTCATACACCCAGCCGAGGATAGACAGAGCTGGCGCAGGATAGTCAAGGAGAAAGCTATTCAGAGAAACCACGATCCTTTACATCAAGGTTTATCGACACAAGGATGGATGACTAAGCCTGTGAAGTTAAGAGAAAACACCGAAAGAAGACCTGTTTGCTAGAAAACCCACCACCCTCCTGCTCTCTACTTCAAAGTTAGTCGTATTTGAAAATGTATATGACATAAAAAGAAAATAAATTCACAAAGTATAAGTATTTGCTATAAATAAAATACATTAAAAGATATTTGAAAATGTCTCTCTGACTTTCTTTTTTTTTGTATTTCTGATTACTGTTCACATTAAGTTTATATAGCCTGCCAGTAAATGTCTTAATGTTTTTGTCCCGTACACAACTTTAACTCGAACTGCCCTTGAGGGAATAACCGTCGACGTAGATGTATTTAGATTACGTTTGGTCATTTGTATTATATTTTCATTGCTGAGTCTCTTTAGTTAAGTCGAAAGGCATGATTTTCGTGCACGGTCGCATTTTTAATCATTTTATGTACTATTTTTATTCCCGATGGCTATAGCTTTCATTTATTAATCAAAGAACTTAAGAATATTTCAGAATTTAGATGATTAAGAGAGACATTTATAATATTTATATTATAGTATTTATCGGTTGTAAGAATTGTATTTCTACCACGAAACAGTCATGCGTACCGTTTTAAAATGTAATTAAAACTTAGGTCTCAAATCTCAAGGTCAATTATGACATGGTACACGGGCCGCATATACTTGAAGCTACTGTATCTTCCATTCTCGAAACGGGTCTTGGTAATGAAATTTCAGAGCTTTAAAACGTATATGTAAAATAAATATTTCTAAATGTGTTCTGATTGCAATAACGATATTCGTTAAATTTATCATGATACAATTAGTTTCATTTTAATTGATAAAATTTTTAATTACACGTACTCGGTTCATTAATCTGAAAAAAAAGTCCGTACGTTGATAAACTTTACTCAGTTACTATGTATCGTTCGATCATATAGCCATGTCAAATTTCGAGGATAAATCCTTTACCATCGGTTCATTTTTATCTGTGCTGTGCTGCGTCATGGTGATAACGACTTGGTGCTTGTTCCCGAAGTGGAGGAACCTTCACAACTACATCAGCATGAACCAAATAATCACGGGAACTCTGCATCTACTGAACTGTAGTTTTTCAGAAGAGATCCTCGGGTGGTTCACGGAAACGGAAACGGCATATAACTACGCGGTCTTTTTGAACGGATTCTTTTTCCTCGCCACTATGAGCTGGTCGTTTTGTTGCTCTCTACTCGCCTATCTAAGATTGGTTCTGCTTCAGTCGAGGAAGATTAGTTACGAAAAACGAAAAGCAACAGCTGTTACTCTCTGGACTCTGGTGATCGTCAGGGTTACCTGCGATTACATAGTCCCAACAATCTGCCGACTTACATTCGACGAACAATTAATGCTGTCTATTTATGCTTGTACTATGATAATGACGATCAACTTGTTGATCTTCGTACGGATAGCGTTTTCAGTGATGTCTTGCTGCAAAAAGAGCATCTCCAGGAGGAATTTAAAGCACGTTACATCAGTAATTGGCGTAGCATTGGTCTGTGACTCGATAGTGATCGCGTATTTCATCATTTTTATAGTTGGGTTGTCAATTCCCTGGATATTCAACATCGGAATAATTTGCTTCACAATGAGACTGGTCCCGCAGACTCTTTTGCTACTGCTTAAACCAACCTCAAGAAAACACTGGAGAAATCTCTTGCGCAATAGAAACCTTTTTTTAAATCATGAAATGTCGACATTCCATCAAACCAGGTTAGTAGATTTTTTAAATTGATATTACAAAATAACTAGACGTGCCCGGTGGTGATACCAGCGTTAAATATGATATTCAATGTTCAATGAAACATTTTGCATAATTACGAACTAGGGACTCCGTAAGCTTTAGCTAAAACTATTCCAGCTTACCAGAGTTACCATGGAAAACTTCCTAAGCGCTCTTATTGTATCTGCAATACTCGTAGTGGATGAATAATTCATTCGGAATAAGGTTTACCCATTATAAATTCATATTGAGCCCCTAAATCGTAAAAGAAGCGTCTACGTCAATTTTTTTTTTCTTTTTTTATTGTTCTTGTGGGCAGACGAGCATACGGTCCACCTGATGGTGAGTGGTTACCGTCGCCCATGGACTTCAGCAATGCCAGGGGCAGAGCCAAGCCCCTGGCATTGCTGGAAAAGGCGGATGTCGCCGAAGTTAATATTGAGCCTCAGCAATATATCCTTTAATTAGTAACTTACAAGGCATTACAATTAGGACCAACCAAATTCATTAACCAATTATAATAAAATAGCTGGGAACAAATCACGCACGGTCATCCGCCCTAATTTAGGATTCCCTGTGCAATGGCTATCTACCAGAAACTAATAAACATAGTTATATATGTTCATAAATACAGTCAGGGTCGCCAACTACTACACCACCGAGTCAGTAATTCACCGAATTATGGATATGTCTTGTTTTTCTTGTCGTTCTCTGTCATTCGTTCCTTGTTCCTCTTGTTCGTTGTCCTTTTTGAAAGAAAAAAAAAACTGACTACTTCCAAAAAAGTTATTGACAGCCCTAAAGTTTGCCAATAACTACTGTGTAAAACAAAACAAAAAAGAAAATCGGCTTAGAAACAGGAGAATATTGTACTGAACGTTTTTTTTTAAATATCCATAATTAATGATATTCCCTTGTTTTAAAAACTAAACTAACTAAAGCAAGCTTTGAAGTCGTCCTGGCCTTGTGGATAAGACGCCCGGTGCATTCGTATTAAGCGATACAATTGTGCCGGTGTTCGAATCCCGCAGGCTAACTAATTAATACGCTTTTATTAGCTTCAGACGTATGTATGTAACGGAATCTTTGAACATAATTTCGACCCCCTTCAAAACGTCGGATTAACTCGAAATTTGGGCCATTTAACCATTACTTCATGGTAGTTTTCTAATTACAGAGCATAATGCGACTCAGTGACGCACAATGCCGAATTATGCTGAAGCTTAATTGAGCATTATGCCGCATAATGCGCTCTTGTGCTGTAATTGGAAAACGGCCTTGGTATACTTATTAAGGACCGATGACAACACAAAATAAATAAATAAATTTGAAAAAATTTAAATTCAACTAGAAAATGAAAAATAAATAATAGTTTAAAAAAAAGTAACAAAATACGCTTTTATAGAAAATCCAACTAAAAAATAGAAAATAAATTTTAATAAATGTGAATTAAAAATAGTGTAAGAAAAAAGATTTTATTGTAAAAAAAGCGTGGGGTGCATGTTATCAGTATATATATATATCCTGAAAATCACCCCACGCTTTTAATCAAAGTTACGATGAAAAAAATGACCTTTCTATTTCTAGTTTATAACCTATACATAGACACGGCTGAAAATATTGGTTATCGGTAAAAATAATGTATTAGGTATTGTAAAATTTCATAATATGTAATGTAATAATAAACACCCCTTTTGAGAATATAATAATATGTGCAGACTTCGATGGGGAAAAAATTACAAACCCAATATGAGCTGAGCCCTTTTTTTAAGAGATTGATGACCTGGTAACTAAGACCTTTAAGTCATGTCTTATTTTAATTTATATTCTTCTTTTTATGAAAAATGATAATATGGAGTGAAATGAAGATGATTAATTTGATACATTAATCAACTGGGATGAAATTAAATGAAATGAGATGAGAAGATATTATGGGATGAACTATAATCTCAGTAAAATGGTGCTCATTTACTGAGATTTTTTCAGTGGACTTTTGGAGGATCCCGAGAAGTTACTTCCAGCGGCTTTGTTTCATTTTCCCACATTTGTGCACTTTCACAGATATTAAACAGTTAATAAACCACCGTTATTACACATTTAAACCTGAAGAAACACTAAATAGACAAAATAAAACAAATCACACAACTTCGCTCCTCGCGTTCCCGCCAAAAAGTCTAGCTGAGCCCATCTTGACAGATGTTACCAAGTCTTTTTAATTGCCATAAATCTTTCTACCACTTGTGAAAAATAATGAGGTTCAACAAATCCTTTCCTTTTTCTGTTTTTATTATTGTTAATTGTTTTTTTGGGATGCTATTGTTGCCAGTTTCGCGTTTATTACTCTGATGACAAATGAAGTGGTTATTTACTGAGACCTCAGTGAACTATTTGAAAAAACTTGAGAAGCCACGTCTAGGGCCTTTGTTTCATTTTCTCACATTTATGAACTTTTCACAGATATTAAACAGGTAGTAAACGGCCGCTATTACACATTTAAACTTGAGGAAACACTAAATGAACAAAATAAAACAATTCATACAGCTTCTGTCCTCGATTTCCCGCCAAATAGTCTCCTTTCTAGCTTTTGTTGTCTCTGCTCTACTACCATTAACTACCATTCATTAAGTTACTAGATTTTATTCCGGCAACATTGTCTTTCATTTCTGAATTTTGAGAGAAGCGCGTTGTCGACAGAAAATAAATCTCATTTATTTAACTGTTTATTCTTGTTGAAAATTAGCTTTATTTCAAAATGAAGATCTTGGCGTTCGTCTGTTTACTGAAACTTGCCATGTGCATAGCATTGCCGGCTGAACAGTCTGGTAAGTTTCGTGAAAAGAATACGATTTGAATAGTTGTACGTTCTAGTTTAATTAAATACATAATGCGCAATAATCTACCAGGAAAATTTATTGTAAAAACCAGTTTCCACTCTTTGATAGTTGATTGATCTACTAAGTCAGGTATGTTCAGTACCGTACAGCGATCTACCTAACACAATTTGTACGTAAACAGTCTGCCATTAAAATTATTTGTGACGCGACATCGACAAAGATGTGTTTAATTTATTATTCTTACCTACCGTATTTGTCGTTGCGTGATGATGAAATTTCACCATTGACATGCTTTATGGTGTCATAATTACATTGAATAGATATTTAAACTATTTGGTAGCGTTTGGTATTTCGTCATAATACATATATAATAAGCAAAGCCACCTCTTATTTCTAAACCTTATGAAATAGAAAAAAGAAAATGGCTTTCCACGAAATTTAATTGTTTTAACTTCTAAACATCCATAAGTTAGGAATTTAAACTACCTATATTGAATAGGCACACATTTCATAAAATTTTGGTTTTAATGCACAGTTTTTATGCCTCAAAGCGAAAGGCAGCATCCGTTTTACGATAACTGTGGACTCTTGTAACTACTTAAAGCCAGTTGGACTGCTCATCTGTTATACTAAAATAAATTCATTCACTATAAACCATCTTAATGTGTCAAAGCATAAATATTTTTGGAGGAACATTATTTAGAATTACATATATTATATGAAGTTATTTGTCATGTTATGAAATGATTAAGTGATAATTTATATCCATTTACACATTAAAAAATACATTAATATTATTGATAAACAATTTGAATTATTGTAGATATTAATACATTGTTTTAACTAACTTTATAGTTGAATATAAGCAGATGAGCTCGCTGCCAACTAATTGCTGCAGCCCACAGACATCACATGATGCTTCCATAAATAGTAATTAAAGCATAATTGTAATATTACTTATAATAGAATCACAGATATTTGACCAACTCCTTAATGTTTCCTTTTTCCTCTGCTGAAGTTTCAGCAAGTTTCATAAATAATGAAATTTACAATATATTCCACTATATAGTAGTACAGAAAGGAGGCAGTGGCTTTGCTCTGCCCCTAGCATTGTGTCCATGTTGTAACTGCCTACAAAGACAATAACCAAAAATAACCCTCATCTTGTCTTAAATATTGTTTCTGCTGTATAAAACATTTCTAATGTAATTTAAACAATCATAGTATTTGTGACTGCTAATCTTACAGAATTGTCAAATTAAAATTGAAGCTAGATGATAGTTAGTGTTTGATGTCTTCCTACAATGCTTATGGGGTCAAGCTTCATGGTTCAGTTTTGAAATCTTCTGAAGGGAAATTGTTGATTATGGAACTTATTATGTTGTAGAGTTTTAGCTATACTGTACCTAAGAGTCATATCCTAATACACAGTTTTAAGAATGTTTAACGAAAATATAGCTTAGGCACACAACAATATTCATTTTTAACATGATTTTGTTAGCTTGACTTATGTTTACCTATGTAACTGAATCATTGAATATAATTTTACTAGCATCAAAATATCCAATTAACTTTAAAATTTGCACATATATTAATGACCAATGACAATACAATAACTTTATTATCTTTACCTAACACACTGAACAGCATCATCCAGGTAAAATTGTTTTAATTCCTTGTTGCTTAAGTGTTATTTTTAGCTTTTAAGGTAATTTACATAATTAAAATATTAGTAAAATATTGTTACAACCTATAAGTTATCTTTTAAAATATATAACATAATAGTAAAATTTGCTAAATTCATATCTCTGCATAAGATCTTGATTTTGAACAAGATTTTTTTCATATTCTTTTTTTCATTGCTTTGAGCAACACCATAGTAAAATGGTTATTAATGGTCCCATATATTTTTATGTGCCAAACAGGATATTTCATTATACCTTTTACTTTACTGGATTTTACTGGTGGTAGGATATCTTGTGAGTCCACACGGGTAGGTAATACCACCCTGCCTATTTCTGCTGTGAAGCAGTAATGCGTTTCGGCTTGAAGGGTGGGGCAGTCATTGTAACTATACTGAGACCTAAGAACTGATATCTCAAGGTGGGTGGCGCATTTATGTCGCAGATGTCTATGGGCTCCAGTAACCATTTAACACCAGGTGGGTTGTGAGCTCGTCAACCTATCTAAGCATTAAAAAAAAAAATGCCTTGTTTTTTTTTTCTTCCTAAGCTGATAGATAGCCTTGAGAGGCTATATCAGCGGAACCTTAACTAGTAGGTGAGCTCACGGGGCTCAAACCTGACGACGTTGCTAACACGAACCCTAGCAAGAGCCGTGCTTCGCAGAATCTACCACCGGATCGGAAACGCGACCCACTGAGAAGATCCGGCGAGAAACTCAGTGGGCTAGTGGGCTGTGTCTGAGGGTTAATTTAATCGTCGAGCCCTTCGTCACAAGCGATGGGTTCGACGAGAACGGTGACCGGTACTTGAGGTACCTAAAAGCACCGTTAGTGGATCGGGAGGATCCGAAATGACGTGTTTGGAGCGACGTCGACTGCTTTCCATTCTTTCCGCAGGATCGGGAATGTAGTTACCGGTGGCCACGATAAGAGGGTTTTTTTTTTTTTTTTATTGCTTAGATGAGTGGACGAGCTCACAGCCCACCTGATGTTAAGTGGTTACTGTAGCCCATAGACATCTACAACGTAAATGCGCCACCCATCTTGAGATATAAGTTCTAAGGGTCTCAATTATAGTTACAACGGCTGCCCCACCCTTCAAACCGAAATGCATTACTGCTTCACGGCAGAAATAGGCAGGGTGGTGGTACCTACCCGTACGGACTCACAAGAGGTCCTACCACCAGTAATTACGCAAATTATAATTTTGCGGGTTTCATTTTTATTACACGATGTTATTCCTTCACCGTGGAAATCAATCGTGAACATTTGTTGAGTACGTATTTCATCAGAAAAATTGGTACCCGCCTGCGGGATTCGAACACCGGTGCATCGCTCAATACGAATGCACCGGACGTCTTATCCGTTAGGCCACGACGACTCTAATGTCTTCATTTCGTCATGTTCTCATGTCGTGCCGCTTTATCGAAGTGGAGTAGCCTTGTACATAAAGCTACATACCAAGCTAATGGAGTTTTATAAATTTTGGCTTTGTACCTATTTCTGTAATGTGGTAACTGTGGGCTATGCGACCGTAACCGGGCGAGTAGATGAGCTCACAAGGCTCTAACCTTTTTTTTTTTAATTGCTTAGATGGGTCTACGAGCTTGGCCCACGTGGTGTTGAGTGTTTACGGGAGCCCATAGACATCTACAACATAAATGCGCCACCCACCTTAAGACATGAGTTCTAAGGTCTCATTTGTAACAGTACAATGGCTGCCCCGCACTTTAAACTGAAACGCATTACTGCATCACGGCAGAAATAGGCAGGGTGGTAGTACCTACCTGTGCGGACTCACAAGATGTTCTACCACCAGACCTAATCTGTAGACGCTGCTAACACTAGCCCTAGCAAGAGCAGCGCTTGACAAAATCTATCACCAGATCGGAAACTCACTGAGAACATCCCTCGAGAAACTCAGTGGGTCGATTGGAATAATGTCACAATATGATGCAATATTAAGTTTGATTGAAACTATAACTAAATATTTGAGTTTTCTTTTTTTTATTTGTTGCAAATCTATATATATAAAAATGAATTACTTTCGTTAGTCGCGCTAACTCGAGAACGGCTGGACCGATTTGGCTAATTTAGGTTTTGAATTATTTGTGGAAGTCCAAAGAAGATTTAAAAGGTAGAAAAATATGAAAATGCTCGGAATTAAATAAAAATAACAATTTTGTTTTTCCTTTGATGTGTCCCCCTTCAGACGGCTTCCTTTTGTTTGTTTTAAGTTTATTTTATACAAAAGTTTAGGTCTTTTATTTATCGATTGAGGCATTACGAAGTCTACCGGGTCACCTAGTATATCTATATATATATTTAATTTGCAGGAACCCAACTGGGGACTACAGTACCCGTTCCTCATGATATCCCTCAAGCTCCAGGTAAACCTGAAGAAAACGCAACAGCAGTTCAGCCTACGAAACAAAACACAACTTCTGCAGTAGATACTAAGACTGATGATAAAAAAGTAAAACCTGAAGCAGAAAAAGTCACAGAAGCAACACCTGTATCCGCGTCATCAGTGCCTGCTTCTGTGAAACCAGATGAACATGCCAGCACAAAAGACAACAAAGTAGTTGATAAAGAGACAAAAGAAAAAACCGATGAAGAGAAAAAGGGTCCCGTTTCTGAACCAACTAAAATTGTACCAGAACACCAGACAGAAGCTGCTAAAAAAAGTGAAACAAGCTCGTCAACTGAAGCCAAAAAAGAGGATGCGACCACTCCGAAATCAGAACTTGCCAAATCTACTGAAGCCCCCACACACATAGAACCAACTGTACAGGCAAGAGCGTAAGTACCTAAAATTGTGTTTTATTAAAAGTTTGGCAAGCATATAAAATAAAATTTAATTCAGGAATAATCAGTGCATCAAACGTGTTGTTGCACATTGATAATATAATGATATGAATATAGATGACTTCCCTGTATCTATTTTATTTTTACTTTTAAGTTTATATTTATAAATACTGCAATTGTTTAAATCTCACATTTGTAAAATTCAAGTATTCATTTAGATTTATGTAAATTTTTCACATATCTGAAAAATTATATGGCAATCTGCCTACGCCTGTAGCAATTTCTGCCAGTCCTATTTAATGGTTGCTAATGTAGTGTGTTTAATTTAATCCAATTGCCTCCATAACCGTGATGGTCAAATATTGTTTCCATTGTAGTAATAATAATTGTGTCTGGAACAAGAACTAGTAGGTAGTGGCTTTAAGGTAGGCAGCGGCTTGGCTCTGCCCCTGGCATTGCTGGCATCCATGAACGATGGTAACCACACACTATCTGGTGGGCCATAAACTTGTCTGCCTTACACGGGCAATAACAATTCTTCAGAGCACTCCCCATGAAATGAAAAGAGATGAAGATGATGCAGAGAAATGAAGTCCACCTGCAGACCCAGAGGTTCTAAGGTTCATTCTACTATTTGACTTCAATTCATTTTTTGTTGTTTTCAGAGGTTAAATAGATATTGTGTTGTGAATATAACTATAGTTATTCTATAGTGAAATAATAATAACTATAGATCGATGCCTCCAATGAACACTACTCTAACTCCAAATTCGAAGGTTTACAGGAGAAGCGTTTAAATGAAAAAAATTGATAAAATCTTTATTATTGCACATGTATTTATGGTTTTTTTTGTGTAACTAGCTGATTTACTCTTGCTTCGAACCCCATCAATAATGATTTGTAATACTTTTAAAATAGGGAAGAGATTTGCGGGTAATACGAATTTTTTTAAATTTTGAGTTAGAGTAGTGTTCATTGGAGGCATTGAGATATTCTATACAAAAAAACACTGCACTTGACATTAAGTTGAAATCAAAGGCAGTTAGTGAACCACTCTTTGTGGAGAGGCCTGAGGAAGACATAAAACTGCACAGGCAGTAGACATCTTTTTGCTAATACTAATCCTTATCTAAAAACAATATTTTTAATTTCTTTACAGATTTGATGGACCAAGCTTTGTTGGTGGAATCATACTGACCCTTGGTCTCTTGGCTATAGGATTCATGGGATTCAAATACTACAAGAACCACACTGAAAGAAACTACCATACACTATAAATTTCATCTCGAATAAAGTGCACCAATTTATTGTAAGAATTTATGTTTTAGTATTTTATTTTCTGAGTGCACTACCACGTTTTATAAATTGTAAAACAGGGTTTTTACATTCATGTACCTATATAAATGTTTTCACATTAGAAGTTTGTAACGGGGTTTTGGTCCTAGTTATAATTTGAGATTCGAATTTATGTTTTGATTTTAAGTCTTCATTTAAGAATGTTACGGCATAATGTTTATTTTTGTGTATGATGCACATTTTTCTTTAAAGCACTAAACTTTTATTCTTAAAGAGAATATTAATAAGATTGATATAATTAATGGCTAAGCTTTCATGTATCTTTGAGTGCAATTTTGTTGTAGATATTTTAAACCGTGCCATGGTTTTCGGGGAATCTCGCATTTAAAGTATAATCGCAGCTTCACCTACTTGAAATATATTTTTTAAGAAAATATTCTATTAACATAAGTGTTATTTTAAGGAAACTCAATGTGATGATGAAAAGGGTCTAAAGTAGAACCAATTCCGTTTTGACACAAACAAGTTTTTGAATCTCCTATCTCTGTGTTTTTGTTTGAAAACAATTCATTACCAATTTACTGAATCTCCTTCAAATGCTTAAAACTAATTTTTTTTTTCGTTGTTCTTTTTCTTTTTAAATGGATTATAACCAGCTATTTATAAACTGGGTAAAGTTGATTCCATCCTGAAGTGCTCTTAATATAACTGGTCTATTATTCGAATAATCGTTCAGAGATGTATAATTCACTGTTGTTTCCTGTTATATATAAATATTGCTACTTGTGTCACAGTCAATGGTTATGTTAAATTTAAATAAACATATATTGAAAAATTGGTTTTATTTTATTTACACTATATGTACATTTAAAATTATTACAAACAAAAGGTTATTCCGAACTTCTTTCTGTAAACAAATCGTAAACAGATTTGCTGACGGTCGGACCTACGTTACGATTCAGATCACCATATTTCAAATTCGCTAATAGAAGCTGACCTTCCCTTTGGCCACATTGTTTATACGCTTCTATAATGCATCTAAGAGTCTTAAATTTATTAGTTACAGCTAATGCTTTTTCTAATGACATTCCTTTTAATTGTACTAGCATTTTAACAAAAGTTTCCATTACACTCATTTTTTTTGTTTTCATTGATGTTTTGCTGAAGTATTCATACGTCATTAGTTTTGTGGGGCTCTGTTCGTGGTTACAGCCTACTAAACTTTGATCCTGTAACAAATAACAAGATTTTGATAAGAAAAAAACTGACTAACAAAATAAAACAGGAATATTATGAATGTAGTCAAAGCCAAATAAACATTTTAAAGGATAAACTCAATAAGTACTCGTCAGATTTTAGAATTTAAATGGGACCATACGAGAAGAACCAGCTTTCAAATAAAAAAATCCTTAAAATCAGTTCACTAAAAAGTTAAGGTAACACACACAAGTACAATATAGTATTGCAAACCTACTACTCCTTTTTAGAATTCAGTAAAAATGCAATTACTGTACTGATTTATTATTCACTTAATTTCACTCAAGTTAGGCAAAAAAAAATAGGGGTCCTATCGCCACTGATATATCTTGGATATTTCCGGAGAGCTACATGATTTTTTCAAATGAAGCTTATGAAGGGTATTTTATGCTTTAGACAGCATGACCGACAGTGATTACCAAGTAATTTGTTTGGGTATTGATGCACTAAAAATAGTTTAATGGGAGCGGTCGTACATATGTATTGCATTATAAATTATCGACAAATTATGAATACATCGATAATCGAACCCCTATCTTTTCAAAAGCAAGTCTTGCACATTGAAGTCGTGGCTAACAGTATATGACGCTGTACTCATATCCAGCAGTGAAATTGTGCCGGTTTTAACATTCCGGAGGCAATTACAAATTTTCTAATGAAATACGTACCTAACACATGTCAACATGTAATAAAAATCAAACTCGGAAAAATTGTCATTTGCGTAATTACTATACAATGCATGTCAATTGTATAGTAATTACGCAAATGACAATTTTATATTTCGAGTCTCTTGTTGGGCGGCGGCATTCAAGTCGTGATGTCTATGGGCTCTGGTAACCACTAAACAGCAGATGGGCCGTGAGCACGACCACCCGTCTATACAATAACAAAAAAAGAAACGTGAATTAACTCGATTTTACAGAATGAGAGATAATTAATTTCTTACCTTAAACTCTAAAGTGAGCCTTTTAGTCATCATAGCCAAAAACCTAGTGGAATGAGTCAATGAGTCGGTCATGTGAATTTTGAATCCATCTTGAACCTTCGTATTGGCTAAGGCTTGTCTCAATGCCTGTAAAGGCAATCCTACATGTTTATTTTTACCGTAGTTCTCTATCAAATAAAGAACGTGCTTCAGTCCGCACTTCTTCAATCGGAATTTTTGCTCGTGAAAACGCCCGTCCTTTATACTAGCGCCGAGGTCATCCATTCTCTTCCGTTCTATTATATACGGCAGCACAAGTTCTTCATTGTTAACACGATGTCTAGCAATCCACAAAAAATCACCAACTTTTAAACTTCTATATTCGTGTTTGAGATCTGGGAACTTTTTAAACTGAACCATTGTCGGATCATTTTTCTTAGATAGCCTGGAAATGAGATTACATATTATATAAACCAGGGGTGGGCAAATATTTTGATAGTCGGGGCACATTGTAGATGAAGATTTGACCTCGGGCCAAACAGTTTTTTTCTGATATTACCTAAACTAATATTTGTGTTTTTAATAATAATATATACAATGCTTCACGGGTCAGACAAAATTCTACCGGCCGCCATTTGCTCAGGCCTGATATAATCGATTAAATACTCTAGAAACTTATAAAAACGAGATAAATTTCACGAAATTGTGGTTCACTTAAATATTATATTTATTTGCCTGGTTTAATTCTATCGTGGGCAACTCGTAATGTATTTCCAATCCAGGCGACGGGGCATCCCATTGCAGACGTCACCCAATATATGTCACGTCGGATCTTCCTGATCCAATCTCGGTGCTTTTAGGCACTCCAAACAACGGTCACCGTCCAGAACCCAGAACCAGAACTCTCGACGAAGAGTTCGATGTGCAACCTAACCCAAGCCACTGAGTTTCTCGCCGGATCTTCTTAGTAGGTCGCGATTCCGATTGGATGGTAGATTCAAAACACTGCTCTTGCTAGGGCTAGTGTTAGCATAACCTTCCAGATTGAGCACACCTAGTAAACCGTGCGTTAATAACTAATTTACTAAAACTGCTAAATAACTAACGGGAACGTTGACGTAGTGACCGACTACTTCATGTACCCTTTTTTTCTAATGCTGTGTAATCCTTTTACGGATACCCGGTCGAGGGGGATAACAGAGGGATACAACAACATGTCAGACTCCGGCGCCTCCAGAGAAGAAGACCTCTCCTACCTCGAGAGGAAGACCAAGGTTTTCTTCCAATTCCTGCCTTGAGAAAGGCGCTGCGCGGCGTCAGCTATACAAGACCCGCCCCGCAAAACCGACCACTGACTAAGCCCCATCGAACTCCACCACTCCGACTCCACGAAATCCACGGTACCGCAAATCCGCCTTCGCCGGTACCCGTCTTAATAAATGGGCGGGATTTCATACCAAGGAAGATCCTGAAGGTCGCTGTCTCCAGAAACACCGTGAGCGGTGCACAGGAGCCACCTTACGCCGTTATTACCCTCCCTATTACGACATCCCCTTACGCGAGCAGAACGAGAGCTTCGCGCCCGCGCCGCCCACTTCGCCTTCTTCGCTGAGAAGCCGAAGAAGGATCCCACTCCATTTCGCGCTCAGCCTCATGGAACGCCATGACCAGGTCGCAAAACCTGGCGATGTCCTACAAGTAACTCTCGTCCTCTAGCATGCGGAGACGACAGCCAGCAAGGAGAGGTCCCGCCCTAGCATCGCGAGTGTTTCCAACGCGTTCACGATTCAAACGCGTGCTGAGCATCATCGTCTGGATGCCCTCACTGGTGGCAGCCCGGATGTGGCTCTCTCGGCTTCGAGGGTGCTCCGGCGGATGACTAAAGTTAGGCGTACGCCCCGCGCTGGCGGGCTGGGTGGGATACCCAGGGTCTCGGACTCGGGGACTGTGTCCTGAGCCCCAATACCACACCCAAAACCTCAACCTTGAGATCAAGGAAGGGAACCGGCGAGGGCGTAGGCGACCTCTCGGGAGATCGTACCGTATCCTCTGATCACCCTCACCGCGAGCGCCCGCTGAGCTCGGAGCAGCAGAATCGCGTTGGGCGCGGAGAGTACGACTACACGGGATAGACGTACAGGGCCTGCGCACGACCCCCAGGTACAGACCGCGCTGCCACCACCGACGTTAAAGAGAAAACGCACTCGCCACCTCCAGCAGCTTAGGGATCAATTCATGGAAATGATGATCGAAGCACCGTCAACTGTCAGTACGAGGTACGAGTACAAACGACCGTGCGAGGTACGACAGTACGAGGCCAAATATTTGAGCTTTGGCATGGGGTTCAACATGTTAAGCAACTTAAGTTTTAATCAAGCTTTGTTTAAAAATAAAACATAAATTTTAACAATACATACCCACTTGTTTCATTCTTATCAATTAGAAGTATTACATCAAAAGACCCTTTTGGAAATTCTTTTGCAATGTTCGAAAGTGTATCTTCTAAGCTACAAGCAGATGATGATCCTGGTGTATCCTGATCCTGGTTTGATGATTCAACAACAGGTGACCCTTTTGAAGTATCTTTCAAACAATCATTACTAAATAATTGACTTGAACTAGATTTATTTTGCTTATCAACAGATGCAGAATCTATAAATGAAGCTAATGTATTCTTCTTTGGGCTATCTGTAATCGATGCTCCGGATCGTGATGCTGTTGAACTAAATTTATTTGAAGAATTTTCAAGGTGCACTGTTACAGCCATAGGTGATGATGTCCATTTCTTTATACTATCAATGTTTGTTAATGAATTGTTTGGTGATAAATTGAAATCATTATTCTCTAAAATACTCATATTTGATGATGTAATTGGTGAACTTTTTTCATTTAAGCTTTTAAAGCTTGATGAAGTACTGACTAATGAAGTTACCTGTAAACAATCAAGATTCAGTGATACGATAAATGCAAATGTTTTGTTACTTAAATGGCAAGCACTTACTGGTGCAGCAATTGATAATGGTTCCAAGCTATTACTTTTTAAGCCATTATTATTTGGTGATACAGTAATTGGTGAGGATGCTGAAATATTTTTTGAACTACCACTGTTTGATGATGCATATACTTGTGGAGTATCATTAAAAATAATATCATTCAGAGTAGGTATTCTTATAGATTCTTTTAATAAATCACTAGCTAATTTTATCCCATTTTCAGTCAAATTATAATATGTTTTTTTCTTTACAGTTTTATTTACTAAACCTTTTGTTATCAGCTTACTCATACTAGACCACGCTGTGTAGTATGTATCTGGTTTTGGCCTCACAAAAGACTCTTCACAGTGTGGTTGAGCTCTCTCAATTAACTGTTCCTTGGTTAACAAAGGTTTAATTTGATTTTCTCTAAAGTTTTCTAGCAATGCTATTAGTATTGCATAACTACCAGATCTATATACAGGTTTGTAACATTTAGGTTGTTTTTTCATTTGACTACTTAAATTGCCTTCAAAATTAAAATTATTTACATCATCATTTCTTGAACAGGGACTAGCTATTATTGGAGAAACACATTCAAGCTGCTCAGAATTTGTTTTGGAGATAGAACAATCTAGTTTGTAACTATTCATTAAACTATCAAAAGCAGATGAACTAGGGCTTAAAGAACATTCAGAACTTATACTCAGATTGACTGTATCCACATTAAGTTCTAAAGGTAGATATTTATTTTTATCTTTTAAGTCATCATCGCTCGAGTGTAGATTCAGATCTTTTTCACTAGAACTATCTTCACTTAATGTTTCACCATGTGTTGCGATACATTCTTCATCTTTACAGTCATTCAAATTACTATTGTAAACTTCTAACCGTTTATCTAAGAATATGCATAATTTCTTTTGAAAACCTCTCAGTATAGCACATTCTGCTCCCGAATTTAACGGTAAAGGATACTTAGAGAGGGAGTCTAATGCTTCTCTTAGCATCGGCTCTAGTTTACTGCCTTTTTCCTTGGCTTCCTCGTGTAACTCTTCGAGCCACTCCTGGAACATCGGATTTGGCCGTTTTCTTTTGTACGTTATTCTGTTGCCCACAGTATTCATGATTGAAATGTTTGGAAATTCTTCGTATTTAAGATATAATCGAATCAGTTCCCGTTTTTTCTTTTATCGTAAATAAGCTCACAAAATATATTGCAGTTTAAGTATAGGTACATTTTGAAATAATTTCAAATTATATTATTTGAAAATATTGTCAGAGGAGACAATCAATAACATAGAGATGTGTAGCTACTGAGTGATATAAAAGATATATATCATTCACACCGATAGAATGTCTCACTAACTCACACTAGCTCTGAATGTATTAATAACTCAGTTCTAGCTCACTAGATCACTAGCGCATTTGCCTCATGACATGTATCGTGGATGCTCATCGATTCATCCAATCTAGAATGAAAAGAAAATTAATGAGTGAGAAAGATACACGTGTGACCGGCTGACGAAAATGACCATTCACTTCACGCTAATTTCGTTTCAGCGTATTGGGTTGTCAAGGAAAATGTACTACTCGACCAAGCTAAGTCTGCACCTCGCTGGAATGCGGCGGTTCGCCCGCTTCCTCACTCACCTTCCCGCGATCGCCCTGTCGCGTCAGTACGGTTAGCAGCTTTGTCGCCGACAAGCGTCATACGAGTTTTCGTCTCCCTATACGTTGAATTTTAAATTTTTTAACTGTTCTTGTTAGGATTTTTGTTGAAGTTTAGTTATATTATTGGACTATTTTTGTTAAGTTTTTGTTGAACTGTTGTTACTGAACGCTTAACCTTCATTTTTTTTACTTCCAGAAGATTGTTGTGGGCAACAAAATGAAAAGAAAGGTGATACTTAGTGAAGGGAGAAACATAATCCTGAAAAAGAAACATAAAGGAAAATTATTACTGAGCTATTGGGATACAAATTTAAAAAGTGCAAGAACACCCGTGTGGTCTTAATACAAAAACCCGATACCGCTATATTCTAATGTACTTATGTATAATATATTGTTAAAAACAATAAATGCAAAGTAAAATCTAACAAACATTTGTTTACATTTTTAAAGTCATAGCGAATCCTTATTTCAGACCGTATTTAAGCAGCAATGTGACATAGTCGATGCGAGGTGCAAACTTAGCTTGGTCGAGCTGTACATTATTTCTATAGGACCATAACATAACTCATGTATTTTTAAAACTTAATTTAAATTTGCTTTATTCTTACATAAAAAGGTAGTCATTAATTAGAGAAGTTAATATTACGACGGATGCGATGCTATATAAAAAAAAAATTAAAAAAGTTAATCAAAAGAAAATCAATTTAATATGTATAATGTGTATAGCGCCAATAGATATGCTGTACTTGACTTTTGATTTTCTTTTGGACTTGAGGACTGTATTCTGTTAAATTAAAAGATGTTTATTTTTTGAGATACCAGTTGGCATGTGTATTCTGAATTAGCAATTTTACAGTTTTATATGATGATGGGGTCAGGGAACAATATTTTTATCCAATAGCAACCGCACACGTTCCTAGCGTGATAGCGTCACACACAGCTCGATTATAATTGGTCGCGAAAATTTATACAATAATACCAATATAATAATACTAATGACAAAATACAGATACGATAATTTCACGGATCGAGATCCTCAGCATTGCAGATGCGTGAACAATGTCTAATGTACAAACTAATAAAACTGAAAAAAAAGATCTTCCGAGAACTAACTTAGGCTAATATAAAAGTTAAAGACAGGTTTGTGTAAGTGAGAGAGATTAAAAGTGAGTGATATATGTATACTGAGCTAAATGATCAAGATGAAAAAATAAATTAATTGAAAGACCAATCAATTGAATTGGATCACTGAGCTAGTGATCTAAATGGGCTAGTGAGCTAGATGAGTGATATATATCTTTAGAGTAAAATGATATATATTCTATGATTATACTAATCTGTGCTCAACAGGATTATGTTGTAATATGGCCAATTAAGTGTATAATCTATGATGTTGGCCTAAAGGTCTAGACACCAGGCCACAAACTCCAAAAAAAAAAAAAAAAAATTTTTAATATGTTGTACATACACAAAAAACGCGATAAATATACGTTTTGGTAAATTTTAGTTAGCAAACTAGTGAATTTTGTATAATGAAGTAATTAAAAATAAAAAAATCAAGATGTCGCTGGAAATACCTTTAATGAGCACCGACGAGGTGAAATAAAAACTCTAATTCAGTTTGGCGTTTAAAAAGTGTTCGTGTAACATTTTTATATTAATATTTGATTTCTTTAGGTGATTGACCTGGATCCAGAACAATTACCTTCCGGCGATGAAGTGCTCAGTATTTTACAACAAGAACGCTCACAACTCAATGTTTGGATTAATGTTGCAGTGAGTTAACCTAACCTCGATATTATTCTATTATGGGAAAATAATCATAGCAGACGAAAAAAATTAAAACTTTATACCAATCACAACGTTGCAAATACATGAACTAATATAAAATGCAAGAAAATCTTTAATTAAAAAAGGTTTTTCAACTGTAAATGATCATTTAACAATTAGTTGAGTAAATATGTTTACAAAGAACTTTCACAAATTACTTTACCTTAAACTTATAATGTCAGTTTTAAATATAAACATTAACTGCAATTTTTCGAGTACAAATTACTAGTAGGCATCAAATGTCTCTACGTAAAAAAAACAACAGTAAAATACTTATCTGTTTCTTTACTTTTAGCAAGATGTAGACAATTCTAACTTCTTTTAGACATACATCAAAATATGTTAAATATACAATCATAAAATAATTTCACACTTATGATACATAATTCGGAGTACACATTTTCATTATTTTTATTGCCTACAATTATCGTAATGGGGGTCTTAGATATTATGAAGCAAACGCTGCCAACATGCTGACATGTGTGTCAGCAGTGTAAATGTCACAAAAAATTTGAAAGTATGACTATGTCATGGGAATAGGCAGCTTTGTGGTATCTTATGGGTAGACAATGCACCCTACTATGAATAAATATGCAAATTCATAAAACAGTGTGGTTATCATATTAATAATTTTATTACACAATATAATTTCTTTGATATGTGTTTGTATACATACATCAGGTGGAATTTGATATGATCTAATGTAGAATTTGTTGTGGTTGAAATTAATAAAATATAGAATAAATAATAAAAAGGAATTTGTACAATTTGAGTTTCGGGACATTCATATTTATTATTAGCCTGTTATATAATAAGAAACAGTTGCTCTGCATCTTAAGTGTGACTGACTTTATGCTCCAGTTAAAAGTTTTCAACTTTTTATGTTTAGCTCGCATATTACAAACAAAAGAAAATCGATGACTTCCTCAAGATCCTGGAAGCATCACGTACAGATGCCAACATTGACTATCGGGATTTCGAAAGAGATCAGATGCGGGCTCTCGACATGTTGGCCGCATACTATGTGCAAGAAGCTAACAAAGAGAAGTCAAAAGATAAAAAAAAAGAACTATTTACAAAGGCAACATTATTGTACACTATGGCGGATAAAATTATTATGTATGATCAGGCAAGTGAAAAATAATGCATCAGTTAATCATTGCTAATTGTCGCTTTATTTTCTAATAATGTGAAATGTTCCAGAACCATCTTCTTGGTAGAGCATATTTCTGCTTATTGGAAGGTGACAAAATGGAACAGGCTGATGCTCAGTTCAACTTTGTCCTAAATCAATCCCCAAATAATGTGCCTTCATTGCTCGGTAAAGCTTGCATAGCTTTCAATCGTAAAGATTACAGAGGGGCACTTGCTTTTTATAAGAAAGCACTTAGAACAAATCCAGACAGCCCAGCCGCTTTGAGACTGGGTATGGGACATTGTTTTATGAAGCTGAATAATCAGGAGAAAGCCAGGTATCTATATCGTAATAATTATGGCTTGTCTGCAAATTCTGATTTTGGATACTGGAGGTCCTGGTCCATTACTGCTATTAAGAAACTGTTTCAGTTTGAATAGCAGAGTAACTTAATCCTTTGCACTTGAGATTTCGAAGTATTTGTTTATGTGTAACTTGTGATCCCATTCATGTCAAATATGTTAATTCACCAGCTTGGGCTTTTAGACATATTTGCATATCAATAGAAAACTGTGAATAAGCTTTAAACAAAAGTTTCAAATCCAATCATTTTCATTAAAAGTTAAAGAAATACCAAAGTGAAAAACAGAAAAAGTCCCTCCCTATGGCATTTTGCAATGAGTATTTGGACATATAACCCAAGCAGGCGGTATGTCGTAAACTTATGTTGTGTCATGACATATCAACGCCCAATGCCGCATGATAAGCGGTCATGCCGCCCCAACCTGACCTATATGGTATAAGAGGAAAAAGAAGTGTAATTTTGATCAAAAGTCATACAGTATATCTGTTGTAGTGTTTACTGGAGCCCATATCTTAAGACATGAGATTGAAATCTCTATTATATTGTATGAACAAAACTAGGGGTACTACATTGCATACAAAAAAAAAGAAGTACACACACATATATATATATATATATAGTTTTAAAGCATTGTAGAAATGGTGACCTCTTGTAAAGCGCACCACCACCCCAAATGATGACCACGACCACTCTGTCAAGAGTGCAAAAGACTGAGAAGAAGAAATAATAAATATATTTATTGCAGGATGGCCTTTGAAAGAGCTTTACAATTAGATCCACAATGTGTAGGTGCTTTAGTGGGACTTTCCATTTTAAAATTAAATCTGCAGGAGAGTGAATCAAACAAAATAGCAGTTATTATGTTGTCTAAAGCCTATGCTATTGACCCAAAAAATCCTATGGTTCTAAATCATTTGGCCAATCATTTTTTTTTCAAAAAGGTAGGTTGTTTGCTGTTTGCAATAAACTATTTGTATAAGTAGTCTGTTTCCCAAGAACAAGATACTTTTGGAGTAAACATGCTTCAGCACAACATCAAAACTACATTACTACATAATAATTTGAGTCTTGTTATCCCAATACTACTAATTGAAAAGCATCCAACGTACATATTAAATAGATGAATTTCCTTAATAAATTAAGATGTCTGATGTGGCTTAACCCTTTCCCTATTATCGGTAACTATAGTCACCGACTGCAAAGCACCACCTATATGGTGTATGGCTAATGTTTTTTTTTTATTGCATAGATGGGTGGACGCGCTCACAGTCCACCTGGTGTTAAGTGGTTATTGGAGCCCATAGATACCTACAACGCAAATATCTTTAGATATGAGTTCTGAGGTCTCAGTATAGTTGCAGTTAGTGCTAATTTTCAACACGGAGCTCCGTTTCCCACAAAGCACTTGGCAGCGGGGCCTGTCGTAGTGAAAAGCTTAACAGTTATTAAAATTAAAATTCAAATTATAAAAAAGCGACTGCATCTGTTTTGTATAATATTGAAAATTGTAGGACTACAACAAAGTGCAGCATTTAGCTTTACATGCCTTTCACAATACTGAAAACGAAGCCATGAGAGCTGAGAGCTGCCACCACTTGGCGAGAGCCTTCCACGCGCAAGGAGACTGCGATAAGGCCTTCCAGTATTATTATCAAGCCACACAGTTTGCGCCACCTAATTTTGTACTTCCCCATTATGGACTAGGACAAATGTATATTTACAGGGGGGACACGGAAAATGTGAGTATTGATCTATTAATATTTAAAAATAATAAAAAATATTTGGATCGACATCCTTAAAAAACAATGAATATAAGTAATTTTAGTTTAAAAACCATATAAAAAGACGTTTATAAAAAAAGTCAAACAAAAAATTCAATTCATAATTTTTGGCACTGTTGATCCTGGTCAGATTATTAAGACAAACTAATAAAATTATTGTATTGTCATCGGTCCTTAACACTTGTGCAAAATATCAAGTTAATTACATTCTTTTAAGTTGGTGAAAACTACGTTGAAAGTGATGGACACTTTCATAGGTGAATTAGATACAAGTCAAGCTATAAAAGCGAGTCAGTAAAAGTTTAATCTTTGATTTTTTCTCTTGTAATTTAGGCAGCACAATGCTTTGAAAAAATACTCAAAGCTCAGCCTGGTAACTACGAGACAATGAAGATATTGGGCTCGTTGTACGCCAATTCGCCATCGCAATCAAAACGTGACATCGCTCGGCAACACTTGAAGAAGGTCACGGAACAGTTTCCAGACGACGTGGAAGCTTGGATAGAGTTGGCTCAAATATTGGAGCAAAATGATTTACAGGTAACAAATTCGTGTGTGACTAAGGGACTTGAGTTGAATTCGTCATTTACGCTGTTGATTTCCATGGGCTCCAGTAACCACTTAACGTCAGATTGACCGTGAGCTCGTCCACCCATCTAAGCAATAAAAGAAGACAATCGGGTTTCAACAAGCTCCAGTAACACATTTTTTTAAACCACCCTTTTAGGGTCAAGGTAAACCTAATAAGAAAGCCATTATAACCTATTTATGATGTGAACATGAACAGTAAATGTCAGCATTGCTCATTGTACCGTGATAATGGAATCCAAGTTTTCTCTGTATTATAATTACAGATCGTTGTAAAAAGTTTCTGTCTATTGCTTAATATAAATAAGAAGTTTCATAATATGATGACCAAACTCTATTTATCTGGTCTCTGGAGTGCAGATAGAAAAATAAAAATAGCACCTGGTGCTTTAACTAATATTTAATACAAAATCACTGGGAAATTCAATAGATATTGGATGCTATCAATCTATATTGTCTGTTTTATTTGACATAAAATTAAATTATTTTCAGGGTTCCCTAAACGCTTACAGTACTGCTATGAAAATTTTAAAGGAGAAAGTAAACGCTGACATACCAGCCGAAATATTAAATAATGTTGCAGCCCTACATTACAGATTAGGAAATTTGAATGAAGCGAAAAAATATCTTGAAGAAGCTCTTGAAAGGTATGTTTAAGTTCTTTTTAAATCAACTATAAAACAAGTTGCCTGCCAAACACAGCATAATTTAAATTGTCGCAACATTTATTTATTTTATTTTTTATTTATTTATTTATACTTATTGTACACAAAAAGAAAATACAATAAAAACAGATTTAAAGAATTGTAAATACTATGTACAAAGGCGAGCTTAACTCATTCATGAGTTTTCTTCCAGCAAACCATTATCAGAGAGAAATACGATGTATAAGAGGGGAATAGTGTACAATATAAGAGCTATTAAAGCATGATTTTTAACTAAGCATTAAAAAAATAATCTAATATTAAATGAAAAATACATATAAATAAAAATACATAAAACACAACATTAGTACTTTACCGTAATTATCTAACAGCTCTAGTGAGATTTCATAAAAGTTGTTTTAGGTAGAACAAATCAGTTATTAGTAATCAGATTAACAGTTTAAATAATTTGCAGTTTGTGTGATCTTGGAATGCCTAAGAGTTCATTAGAATGATCAATGAAATCAAATTAATTTTAATGATTTTTAATAATAATCTGTGGAATGTTGCAGTATTCTACAAAGCATCTAAATCAAAAAGTATTACAATTTAGATCTTAACCATATCAAAGTCCGTACTTTCACTATTTTTGAGAAATATTACTGAATAATTCATTACAATTGTAATTTAATATATATGTAAATATGGTAAAATTAAATGAATGATGTAATAATTGACTAATTATTTAGCTACCCAGCTATGAACTTTGCTTGGCTCATCATAAATTTTAGCCTCAAATGACGTCACACGTGCTGAATTGCATTCAGCCCTTTCTTGTAGCGAACTCGTGACAATATAAAAAAAATTTGCACGCTTCCTTAAACTTATATGAAATTTCATACTTTATTAATCTTCTTAGTTACATCGAAATTTCTTAATTTGTTAATGCTCATATAAGGAGGGATACAAATGTCTAACCTAATCTAATATAATCTAATGTTAAAGCCTAAGACATAACAACAATAATATTTTTTTTATTTTTAGAGAGAAATCTGATGCAGAGGCATTAGACGCACAATATTACAATTCAATAGCAGTGACGACAATGTACAACCTGGCGAGGTTGAACGAAGCTTTATGCATGTACAACAAAGCTGAGAAACTTTATAAAGACATACTGAAGGAGCATCCAAACTATATTGATTGTTATTTAAGGTAATATGAGTTTATTTTAAATCTGTGTGAAAATTAGATATAGATAAGAATTTTTGCATTAATATTAGATGTAATCAGCACGCTTTCAAAGTAGAATTGAGCCAAGAACTAAATATTGCATAAATCTATATAAGAGATAGTTCAAAATCCTTCCTTTCCTTGCCTTCAAAATCTTATTATTATTATCTTATACCTTTAAACGAGCAATTCTTGTATATATATAATCTGAATCTCGGAAACGGCTCCAACGATTTTCATAAAAATTAGTATACAGGGGATTTCGGGGGCGATAAATCGAATTACTGCGATTTATTTTCAGAAAATGTTGTTTTATTCGTGTTTTCAATAATCAACTCTTCCCGACATCTATTGGCGAATAATAATACTATTTTTCTTAATTGAGGGCAACTAACCGCTTTAAAGACACAACAAGATGGCGTTATCAAAAAAAAAACAGCAAAGCTCGTTCATCATCTAGTTACATATTATAAACAGATTTTTATATAAAAAACAATTTAACTAGTACAATTTATAGTTGAATGTGGGTTCCATATATCTTTCTGGTGTCTATATCATCTGAATGCTTACATTTTAATACAACACTAATAATACTCACACGTATAACAATTAATATTCATACAAAATTTTAAGTATGTTCGTGACACTCTCATCACAGAATATAATACAGATAATATTTTATAGTAGTTTTTTATGTTTGAAAGATCACTGGTGGCCCGGAGGTCTTTCCAGTTTTACTAGGGCAGGTGGGATTTTATAATCTATAGATAGTAGATTATAGTCTACAGAATAGTGCCAAATTTATTTTTATAAAAGCTTAAAATTAACAGGTTAGGATGTATGGCTCGCGATAAAGGTCAGATATATGAAGCTTCAGATTGGTTCAAAGAAGCTCTGAAAGTGAACACAGAACATCCTGACACATGGTCGTTGTTGGGAAATCTCCATTTGGCTCAACAAGAGTGGGGTCCTGGACAAAAGAAGTTTGAAAGGATTTTACAGAACTCTTCAACTTCCAACGATGCTTATTCTCTCATTGCTCTTGGTGAGTACGATAAAATTGTAGAAGAATATATGGTCAATTCAACCATCGTTTTAATAGTTCATGTTGACGTAAAATTCCCTACGACGTCATCAATATGAATAACTGAAATATTTCCAGTTTTTTTTAAATTAAATGTGTCTATTTACTATAATGTATAATGTACAATGAGTGACACTATTTATTATGTATTATAACATACAGATTGAAATTTTTGTTCTAATCAGGAAACGTGTGGCTTCAAACCCTTCATCAGCCATGTCGTGAGAAGGACAGGGAAAAAAGACATCAAGAACGCGCCCTAACGATGTACAAGCAAGTTTTGAAAACCGATCCGAAGAACATCTGGGCTGCAAACGGAATCGGTTGTGTGTTGGCTCATAAGGTAAATTAAAAATAAAAATAGATTTCTGTGGCTGATTGTACTACCCTTATTGACAGTATTGTTTAACGTTTGTTTCTATTATAAAGAAAAGAAGAGAAATATTTCTAAACTTTGATTTTATTTTTATTTTACATACATATTTGTTATCAATTCAGCTTTTTTTTTTCATTTACTTTATTTACTTTTTTCGCATTCCAGGGCTGTATAAACGAAGCACGCGACATATTCGCACAGGTGCGCGAAGCGACGGCGGACTTTCCCGACGTATGGATGAATATTGCACATATTTACGTTGAACAAAAACAGTACATTAACGCCATACAGATGGTAAGTTGTTGTCGTAAATAATTACTAGAGAATGACCAAGCTTTGCTCGGCATTTTTTTTTGTTTTTAATAAATTGTGTTTTTTAGAAATTATATTTAAATACAAATTACATATTGATTATATTATATTATATTATTTATTATTTTCTTTGAATAAAAAAAAAGATTATGTTTAAGTTGATTATTGAAAACACGAATAAAACAACATGTTTCTGAAAATAAATTGTAGCTAGATCGATTTATCGCCCCCGAAATCCCTGTATACTAAATTTTATAAAAATCGTTAGAGTCGTTTCCGAGATTCAGATTATATACATATTGAAGAATATACATATATTTATATATAAGAATTGCTCGTTTAAAAATTTAAGGTTATTTAATTTTGTTAAATTTTTATGATTTCGATTGTTGGTTTAACTGCACATCTGTGGGGACCTATTATGTTAAAACAGCCATAGAGATGACCCAACTAATTTGAGTCAAAGAAACGTTAAGAGAGATGTACATGTTTGTCGCGCAGTACGAGAACTGCATCCGCAAGTTCCGCATGCAGCACGACGTGGAGTGGCTGACGTGGGTGGCGCGCGCGCAGGGGCTGGCGGGGCGGGCGCGGTGCGCGCGGGGGGCGCTGCTGCGGGCGCGCCGCGTGGCGCCGCACGACCCCGCGCTGCAGTACAACACGGCGCTCACGCTGCGCCGCCGCGCCGCCGCCGTGCTCAAGGACGACCGCGCCGACCTCGCGCTCGTGCTGCGCGCCGTGCACGAGCTGCAGGTCTCGCACAGGTACGCACGCAACCAGACCTCACTTATATTAGTAGTATAATAACCGGCAAACTTCTTGAGCATTTGTTGACGTAGTGGGGGTAAGTTTGCGCATGGTACACTCACGTGCAAAAACATTACTTACTCTGCGTCATAATGCTATTAAATTATTAAAATCAACATATGTATTTATTTATATATTTATTAGAACATCAACAAAACATATAGGTTAATAATTGTAATAATTTAATCTTGGGGTAAAATAGATATTCCTTCTATTAAGTCAAAACTAGAGCTGTTGCCAGGTCTTGGTTCAGTTAAAGCGAAGCTGGTATTTGTAATTTTTTTTTCGTTATCATAATCTTGACCATCATCATCATCACTGTTTTCATCACCCGAGTCGCTATCATCGTGATGAGTCGACATAGGGCTCATCGGCGTAGTTTACAACTCGGTCGATTCGGTCTTCTTTTTTGTCTATAATTAATTATTTTTTGAAGATATTCGATTCGTAGTAATCGAATGTTACTTTTTTCATTTACCAGCTTCCGATTATTTTCTGTTCTTTTTTTCCATCTGAAGCCTAGCTCTTTCATAATTCGTCGTAAGCTTCATTCCGAGCCATTAAAATTTATATCTTCTTTAAATTTTTCGAAGCCTTTCTACGGTACGGAGTTTCGCTGCTTGTTATGTAGTTATTATGATTACATCTTTTTATTACAGATTGAACGAAACTATCCATTCCGGTAACTTTCTTCTTCCCTGATCTTTTCTTACCCGGAGTCCGAAACACGGCGAGCAAGCCAGAGCCTTTAGCTTCGTTAATAATGCACCTAACAGTACTCACTGATGTTTTTGTTGCTTCCGAAGTCTGTTTTAATTTTTCCATATCATTCTTCCCCTGTTTTATAATGAAGCAATATACGTCGTACACAAATTTTCTACCCTTTCTTTTAAGTACTACACCAGTTTGTCACGGCATAGTGTATGTTTTATAAAAAATCAACAAACACTCAACAAATAGCAATGGCAACAAAGTCCACAAGCAATTATAACAAATAACTTAACGATTAATAACGATAGACTTTCCACTGTACGCAAGCGTACTTTTGGGAGCAAGCGGAATGAGGGCGCGGTGCGGGACGCAAGGTTCGACTGATCTACCAATAACGCGCTCGATACGATTTCCCCTGCCGTCGCGCCTCACCCTCACCACCAAAGTGACCTAAAATTCGGTTCTGCGCAGTCAAGGTCATTTGCTCACGAAGTTTGCCGATTACTATAACGGCATGCAAATACAGAGGGGGCGAGATCTACGAAGGGACATCGTTTCTTAGGATGGCCAACTATTGCATAAGCAGTGTGCTTAGTGTGAATTTTTTAACGTTAGCGATGGCGTACAAGTTAACTCAGATTTGTATGCAGTTGGAACAGCGTCCCTAACGGCAAACGTAGGCAAACGTTCCAACTCCACACAAATCATTTTTTTTTCTTTGGGCGGTGGCCGAACCTCCTACGAGGTTCCCGCGCCTAGAGGGCGCGCGGGGTATGTGAGACTTGACGATCTGCAAGGTGTTGGGAGTAGACCGCGGGCCCAAGGAATTTTAGGGCCCTCCCCACTAAACGACTCCCCTGCACTCTTACACCCGACGTCCGATCTCCGTCCGGGGTCATAACCCGGTCAGAGTAGGGGAGTTCCCGCGGTCAACACTACAACCAGACACGTGGCGCCACCCCGAGGACGCCCGACCGACGGGTCGTTGAGGCGATGGTCGACAACCAACGACGTCGGTCTCCGCGGTACAGCGGCCCTACCAGACCGCCCGGGCGATGCTGCCGGTGTTCCGAGATATCCCGCTGGGCCAGAACTAGCCTGCTGAATCGGAACACGATACACCGCCGACCGGGTTGCTCTTCCACAGTATTTTCGACGACGACAATGCAGACCGCATCGCAGTCCGCAGCCGCCGACGCCTCGTCCCGTCCTCCTGGTGCCAGCGCGCTAGAGTGACGGTAGCGTGCGGCGCAGCCTCAACCCTTAGGTCGCCCCGTGACCATCACCGGGAGGAGACTGCCTCCTCATAGGGGCCGCAGCTGGATAAACGCCCTCCTCCCGGCTCGGCGGCGGCGGCAAGGCGTTGAGAGGGAAGAAGAGCTCACCCTCTCCCGTTCCGCCGCCTCCTTCTGCGAGATAGTGGACTCGCAGAAGTCGAGAATCGCCTGCCAGGACTCGTAGCCACGACGGTCGGAAGCGACAAGTCCGGTCCTATTTTTGCAATGAGGACGCGGCGCTGCTCCGCCAAAGCGGGGCAGTACGCGAGCGTGTGCTCCGCCGTGTTCTCGTTGCAGCCACTGCAGTGGTGGCACTTCGGCGTCGGCTCCCTCCGGGCGACGAGGTGCAGGTAGCGACCGAAACAGCCGTGTCCCGTGCGCACCTGCGTCGCTCGGAAGGTGAGACGTCCTCGGTCGCGATTCACCCAGTCCGAGAGGACCGGGCGGATCGCCTCGACGGTCCGTCGCCCGTAGGCGGGGTCCGCCAGACGGCGAGATCACGCCTCGAGCACGGCACGCCGAGACTGGAGCTTCCGCGCTCGAATTTCCGTCGCGCCGTACGAGACCGAGGTACCGCAACTCGGTCGCCTCGATCTCGACGCGAACGCTTCCGATCACGAGGTAGGCCCTCTGAGGTGGCGCTCTCCGGGCCTCGTGAAACAACAGGGCCTGGGATTTATCGAGCGCCACCTCTAGACCCAGCCTTCGGATCCTACCGATGACGAAGGCCACCCCCGCGCCAAAAAGACAAGCAGACTCGCGCAAATCGTTCCCCCGGGCTACGACCAAAGTTTCGTCCGCGTAGCAAAATATACTCAGACCCGGGAGAGGAGCGCTAAGGGCGCCCCGCAGGACCCAGTCATAGCCGATGTTCCACAAGAGAGAGCCAAGGACCGACCCCTGTGGAACACCGCGCTCGACGGGAAAGCGGAGCACCGTCCCACCGTCCCCGGTGCATACAACAGACCTATCTTCGAGGAAGGACCCGATCAGCCGACGGAGATACAGGGACGCCGTGATACTCTAGCGCCTCCGCGATCACCGACCAGGGCAAGGTGTTGAACGCAACTCCATACAAATCTGAGTTAAATTTTACGCAATCGAGAACGTTAAAAACCTCGCATTAAGCACACTGCTATCAGATTATTTTCATCTGTAGTTAATCAGGAAAAATAAACTGATGTTTTAATATATTTTCTTACTATACAATTGTCAAGATGAACCTGAAAATGAAAATTTATCTTTGTCAGATACTTCGAGCGGCTATCATCTGAGGGCGCGGCAGAGGGCGGCGCGGGCGCGGCGGGGGGCGGCCCGTGGGGCGGGGCGGCGGTGGAGGCGCGCACGTGCGCGGACCTACTGTCGCAGGCGCAGTGGCACGTCGCACGTGCGCGCAGACAACACCACGAGGAGCTGTCGCTGCGGGACAAGCAACGGGAACAGCGAGAGGCTTTCCGCAGGCAACAGGTGCGTGTATTGTGTCGCAAAGGGAAGGGAAAACAATTCCTTCCCTCCCACAGAAGATTCGCTTCTATCTTAGTCAAAAGTTGATCGTCATTACCAATGTACCTTGGTTACCTATAAACACATTTATCACAATCTTGTTCGTTCAATTTGTAAACCAGTCATATTTTCCAAAATGATATTTGATTAATGTGTTATTGTATAGTATATTGTACAGGATATTATATTTAAACGTATTTATTGTCCGTATTTATTTTCTTTAATAATGTACATATTCTTAATAGTACACCGCAACATACCTGCTGGATCTTTATCTTTTCCAGAATTTCTGTTAATTAAACGTTTGTCTGGAAGTCTGTTTTCTAATGTTAATTGTGTTTTGGTGTACAATAAAGTATGTTCTCTCTCTCTCTCTCTCAAAGATAGACATTCCTGTGCAATTAATACTTTACTCATGTGCCATATTTTAAATAACAGATAACCTACAAATGTGTCCACAGTTCGTCTGATTACCCTCACTTAATTATCGCTACATTGACTTATCTATACGTCCTCTTGAATTTTAATTTATTGATAAACCTATAAAAACATAATATGTTATTTCGTTCGTCCAGGAAGAGGAGCGGCGGATTCGCGAAGAACAACAACAGAAGAGCACCGTCGAGATGCTCCAGAAGCGACAGGAGTACAAGGAGAAGACGAAAAACGCGCTGCTGTTCACCGAGATGCCGGAGAGCAAGCCCCGGGGCGGGGGGAGGGGGAGGAGGAGAGACGAGTACATATCGGACTCGCCTGGAAGTGGGAGCGATCGTCCGCCTGAAGAAAAGTAACCGTTGTTTCATTAATTCAACTTTATCCTACCTAAGCTGATAGCCTTGAGAGGCTATTTCAGCGGAACCACGTAGCAACTGGTGGTAGGACCTCTTGTGAGTCTGCACAGGTAGGTGCCACCACCTTACCTACTTCTGCCGTGAAGCAGTAATGCGTTTCGGTTTGAAGGGTGGGGCAGACGTTGTAACTATACTTGAGACCTTAGAACTTATATTTCAAGGTGGGTGGCGCATTTACGTTGTAGATGTCTATGGACTCCGGTAACCATTTAACATCAGGTGAGCCGCGAACACGTCCACCCATCTAAGCAATAAGGAAAACCGATCAAGCGTGCTCACTGATGCTCGCAGCTAAGTTACTAATAATGCTGAAAGGAGTCATGCCGCTTGATTTATTTATCGACAGCTAACTTTTAAAGCTCTCACCGATTATAACTTAATTATAATGTTAACCAAGAGCTGAGACAAAATAGAAAAAATAAATAAAAATAAAGATTGTCGATGGTTGCGTTCAAACCCTTTGCCCATTACGGCGTGTCAATAATTTAGGATTCATTGACCTCGCGTGACTTATGATTTATTTGTAACAGACGCGAGGCCAAACAGAAGAAGCGTAAACGCGAAGGCGGCGAAGGGAAGAAAGGCAAGTCTAGGAAGCGCAGGGAGCAGCGCGGCTCCGGCAGCGACAGCGACCCGCCCAGGAAGAAGGGCAGGAAACGGGTAAACTCACATCACTATTTTGTCTGGCTGCCAAATAGTCCACTGAGGCCTCAGTAAATAACCTCCGTTTTACTAATTTTTATTTCATCCCATTTCATCTCTCTCATTTAATTACATCCCAATTCATTACAGTCTCACATAAATTAACTTCATCTCAATTATTTCGCTTCATTTGTCATCAGAGTAATAGAAGATATTTATAAACGCGGTACTGGCAACAATAGCATCCCAAAAAACCAATTACCATTAATAATATTAATGTTAATAATAATAAAAACAGAAGAAAGAAAGGATTTGTTGAGCCTCATTATTTTACACAAGTGGTAGAAAGATTTATGGCAATTAAAAAGACTTGGTAACATCCGTCAAGATGGGCTGATATTGGACTTTTAGCGGGAACGCGACGAGTGAAGCTGTGTGATTTGTTTTATTTTGTCTACTTAGTGTTTTATTCAGGTTTAAATGTGTAATAACGGTGGTTTATTAACTGTTTAATATCTGTGAAAGTGCAAAAATGTGGGATAATGAAACAAAGCCGCTGGACGTAACTCCTCGGGATCCTCCAAAAAGTCCACTGAAAACATCTTAGTAAATGACCACGATTTTACTGAGATTATATTTCATCCCTTATCATCTCATTTCATTTAATTTCATCCTAGTTGAATAATATCTCAAATTAATCATCTTCGTTTCATTTCGTTTCTCTCTATATTATAATTTTTCATAAAAACAAGAATATAAGTTAAAATAAGACATGACTTAAAGGTCTTAGTTACCAGGTCATAAAATCTGTTACAAAAAAAAGTGCAGTAGCAGCGCTCGCGACTGCCGGGCCGAGGGTCGTGGGTTCGATTCCCACATCAGGCTAAAATTTGTGTGATTTTTTTTTCCTATCTGCTCTAATAAGCTCGAGATACTAGATTCTCCGGGCGAGTAGGTGAGCTCTCGGGGCTCTAATCTTTAGCAAGACCTTCACAGGATTTACCACCGGATCAGAAATGCGACCCACTGAGAAGATCCGGCGAGAAACTCGGTGGGCTTTGTGTCAAATTCAAATTCAATTCGAAATCATTTATTTCAACTATCATATATTAGATGTCAGTATGACACACTTGTTGAATGTCAAAATACAAATAACAATGTTAACTCTACCACCGGTTCCAAAAAAAGCCACAGTCCTGAGAAGAACCGGCGAAACAAACTCAGCAGGCTTTTTTTTTTTGTTTTTTCTCAAATATTTTCTTTTTTTTAAATAAATAGAAATATTCACAATAAAAGAAAAAATAAGTCAAAAAAATACAATTAAAAATAATAATAATAATAATGAAAAATGAAAAGGCCAGGAGCGAGCGCCTCATTCCCACGTAGTGCCATCTAGTAAATAATCCTTAACTTTATAATATGCCTTGTTGCACAAACGTTCCTTAACAGTTTTCTTAAATCTATGAACAGGTAGTAGTTGAACGTTTAGTGGGATCTTGTTGAAAAGCTGNAGCGCCTCATTCCCACGTAGTGCCATCTAGTAAATAATCCTTAACTTTATAATATGCCTTGTTGCACAAACGTTCCTTAACAGTTTTCTTAAATCTATGAACAGGTAGTAGTTGAACGTTTAGTGGGATCTTGTTGAAAAGCTGTACACCCAGCCCCCTAAAAGAGTTGCTTATTTTCTTAATTCGAGCCGCCGGCAACGATGTGTGTGATGAACAGGTTTTGTTATTATACTAGCGTTCCACCGGTAGTCAAAATCCGACTATAATTAATTGAAATTATAAGTTTGTACACTGTTATGACTCTATTGTCAAAGATTGTACTTCTAGAATCACAGATTTCGCCAACACTACACTTTAGACAAATATTTTAATTAATAAATTGACCACAGACTATAAGCAATAAGAAAAGTTTGACAATAAACAAATAGTATGCAGGCGACACACGTCAAATACATGGTAGTCTATGTAATGTTTTTTTTAAATGATTTAATGTATTATTTGTGCATAATTTAAAAACTCTATATTCTTTATAAGTGTGGAAAATTTCATACTCCTCCGTCCGCGCAATTTTCGTAAAAAGGGGTACAAAGTTTTCACATATTAATATATAGATAGAGGCATATGAACATATAAAATATGGAAATTTGAATATACCAATATACCAAGGGATGAAATATAATCTTAGTAAAATGGTGGTCATTTACTGAGACTTTTTCAGTGAACTTTTTGGAGAATCCCGAGAAGTTACAAGCATTGTTTGATTTTCCCACATTTGTGCACTTTCACAGATATTAAACAGTAATAAACCACCGTTATTACATTTAAACCTGAAGAAACACAAAATAGACAAAATAAAACAAATCACACAACTTCACTCCTCGCGTTCCCGCCAAAAAGTCCAGATAAGTGTTATATTCTATGATGCAGAATGCAAATCCAGAAAGAGCAAGGTATCACACAACTTCATTCGTTGGGTTCCGCCAAAAAGTCCATTAGTCAAGTCCACAAACAATCCTTTCCTTTCATCGAAGTTCCTTTTAATTCGTTGTTCATCTTCTCGATCAGGGTGAAAAGGGCATCGGTCGCCGGGAACGCGCCAAAGCGAAAGCTGCGGAAGAGAAGCTCAGTGCGAAGCAACGCGCAAAGATCGTTTCCAAGGAGACCATATCCACCTCGGAATCCGACTCGGATAATTCGAGAAAGTCGCGTAGCCGCAGTCGAAGTCGCAGCAAGAGCGGCAGCGGGAGTCCGCCCGCCGCCAAGGGAAGGAAGAGGATCATGTCGGCCTCCGATAGCGACAGGTAATACAGATAAAGCTCATCTCTTTTTTTTCTTAGATGGGTGGACGAGCTCACAGCCCACCTGGTGTTAAGTGGTTACTGGAGTCCATGGACATCTACAACGTAAATGCGCCACCCACCTTGAGATATAAGTTCTAAGGTCTAGTTACAACGGCTTTCCCACCTTTCAAACCGAAAAGCATTACTGCTTCACGATAGAAATAGGCGGGGTGGTGGTACTACCCGCGCGGACTCACAAGAGGTCCTACCACCAGTAATTACGCAAATGAAAATTTTGCGGGTTCGATTTTTATTACACGATGTTATTCCTTCACCGTGGAAGTCAATCGCGAACATTTGTTAAGTACGTATTTCATTAGAAAAATTGGTATTCGTCGCGGGATTCGAACACCAGTGCATCGCTACATACGAATGCACCGGACGTCTTATCCTTTAGGCAATGACGACTTCCCTCCACTCAATTTGGTGAATTTACTGTTAACAAAAACAACAAGTCCAAACAGATACACTGTCTATACTTAACACATCGGATGGCTTTCCAGTGAGGCGACGTAAGCTTTTAAGTGTAAACTTTTTAAATGCTCACAGATCCAGATCAAAGTCGAAGAGTCGTTCCAAGTCTAAGTCTCGCAGCCGCTCTCGGTCCGGCTCCGGGAAGAGCCGCTCCAGATCCAAGAGCCGATCCAAGTCTAAATCTCGTTCCAGGTGTTTATACGCTCGCAATACCGTAGCGGTAGCTGTTACAGCCTTAATATATCGACGCTTGAAAGGCAAACGTGACTAAGCGACAATAAAGATTTTCTCCTGTAAAAAAAAAGCCGCTTTGTCCAACTACGAACTTAATTGTCGGACAAAGAAAACATATAAATAATTCGATTGTATTTAATATCAATCGTAAACCGCGAGTTTGAATGTTTAGCAAACATATTTTTTCTCCTACCTACGCCGAAAGGTCGGTTTTCCTCCCGCTGTACAGGGAAGAAAGTGTAACTTTTCCTCCCGCTGTACAGGGAAGAAAGTGCAACTTTTCCTACCGCTGTACAGGGAAGAAAGTGCAACTTTTCCTCCCGCTGTACAGGGAAGAAAGTGTAACTTTTACTCCCGCCGTACAGGGAAGAAAGTGTAACTTTTACTCCCGCCGTACAGGGAAGAAAGTGTAACTTTTACTCCCGCCGTACAGGGAAGAAAGTGTAACTTTTCCTCCCGCTGTACAGGGAAGAAAGTGTAACTTTTACTCCCGCCGTACAGGGAAGAAAGTGTAACTTTTCCTCCCGCTGTACAGGGAAGAAAGTGCAACTTTTCCTCCCGCTGTACAGGGAAGAAAGTGTAACTTTTCCTCCCGCTGTACAGGGAAGAAAGTGTAACTTTTTGTCCCTGGGTACAAGTGCGCATGCGCGTTAGTGTCTACGTCTGCTCTCACGCACCTAAAATTATCCGCCATTGTTGTGCTCGGGTAATTTGCAATATTGTGTTTAATGTAAAAGTGAAATAAACAAAAGGCAATAAAATTTAATAGTGAAGTATTAAACAAAGATGAGTTCATCAGACAGTTTTTATTCAATTAGTAGTAGTTTATTTAAAAATTAAAAAACAGTTAAATTGTTTTTTTTTATCAGTACGGGGGGCTCCGACCCCCCCCCTCCGACCCCTGAACCCCGGCTCGGTACTCCACGAACTTACGGCCTGGTAGGAGAAAAAATAGTATGTGCACCGCAGGAGAAAAGTTGGTCATTTCTCCCTTGGTGCACAATGTACTATTTAAAGGAAATGGGTATAATAAATTTTTGTGTGTGTATTCACAGGACAACGTCTGTGGGTACGCTAGTTAAATATATGTAAAGAAAAACCTTTTTTATGAAATTTTAATATAAAACCTTTTTAGTTTTAAGAAAGAATTTTTCTTATATAGATTGACTGAACTCTCTGTCATTGAGAAAAAATTCTATGTAAAATAATTTGTGGAAAGTAAAGGTTTTAAATGTTGTTTTCTTAATATTGTACAGAAAACTCAAGTAAGTCTTTTATTATTGTTAAACCACTTTAAGAATATTTCATATCATTATATATATAAATTCCATTCGATATTCAACAGGTCAAAGAGCAGATCTCGTTCGAAAAGCCGTTCGAGGTCGAAGAGTGCCTCCAGGTCGAAGAGTCGATCCAGATCCAAGAGTCGCTCCAGATCCAAGAGTCGATCCAGATCTAAGAGTCGATCCAGATCCAAGAGTCGATCCAGATCCAGGAGTCGCTCCAGATCTAAGAGTCGTTCTAGGTCTAAGAGTCCCTCTAGATCACGATCCAGGTAAGAAAATTAAATGGAAAACCAATTTTTCTGGGATCGTTATGATCATTGTCTGGTCGGAATCAGTATATTTATAATATTTAACACTCAAAGCCTGAATGTTTCTGATGTCTTGTACGATTCTCCAATATCCATAACAAAGAACAAAATCCCAGCTTGGAGATATTGTAAGCGCTATGTTTATTATTATTTATTTGTACGGATCTCAATTAAGTGTTTTTTTTTTATTGCTTAGATGGGTGGACGAGCTCACAGCCCACCTGGTGTTCAGTGGTTACTGGAGCCCATAGACATCTATGACGTAAATGCGCCACCCACCTTGAGATATAAGTTCTAAGGTCCTAAGGTTCTAAGGTAATCGAATTATTTATATGTATAAGGATGTTCAGAAGAGGCATATGAAGAAATGCAACATTGACACCTCTCGTTGGGAAGCTCAAGCACAGAATCGTTTGGAGTGGAGACGCTTGGTACAGCAGGGCGTGCATGTCTTTGAAAACGACAGGAGGCGCGAACTGGACGACAGACGAAATAAATTGAAAAATAGACCGCCTTCCACCATTTTTTACAACTTCGTGGGTGNCGTTTGGAGTGGAGACGCTTGGTACAGCAGGGCGTGCATGTCTTTGAAAACGACAGGAGGCGCGAACTGGACGACAGACGAAATAAATTGAAAAATAGACCGCCTTCCACCATTTTTTACAACTTCGTGGGTGGTGTTCTTACGTGTAGCTTCTGTTTGCGCACGTTTAAGAACAAGATAGGCTACTGTAGCCATATTATAGCGCATGAGAGGCGCGGACATTAGCTTTTAAGTTATTAAACTGAAAAATTTGGTCGCCGTGGTCGAAACCGGCTTGGGAACCATGAAGGTCTCAGTATAGTTACAACGGCTGCCCCACCCTTCAAACCGAAACGCATTACTGTTTCACGGCAGAAATAGGCGGGGCGGTGGTACCTACCCGCGCGGACTCACAAGAGGTCCTACCATCAGAAAAAGTGTATATAAAAAACAAAATTCTTCTACAGGTCAAAGAGCAAATCTCGATCCCGTTCTCGTTCGAAGAGCGGTTCCCGGAGCGGATCCGGGTCACGAGCGTCGCGCTCGCGGTCTCGCTCCGGGTCAAGGTCGCGATCCGGGTCAAGGAACTCGAGACCCGACACGCCCGTCTCAAGGAAGTCCGTATCGGCTAGCGATGACGAAAATTAGTTTACTTTGTAAATATACGTTGACCATATTGACAACACTTTTGAACGTCACTTCTTGGATGGTATGGCAACCCCAAGGGAAATCTTATCTAATAATATCCAGCAGTAAAAATTGTTGTGTAAGAATAGTTTGAACTATGTACTGTGAACGCTTTGTTTTTATTATTATACTGCTAATGGAAAACTAACATAATTACTTGACTACTTAATAAATTTGATAGTCTTACGAAATATATCAATTCAACATCGCGTATATAGGCCATTATCTTAATTATCTTATCCTATTCAATTCAATTATACAAATTATTCTAGAATTTATGTGAACACTAAGAACTAAGAACACTAAGAACTTTCAAGTCTTGTTTATAATCTTTAAAATTTATTTACATAAACTTACCGTATTTATAACTTTGTAATATTCGTATAAATGACTCATTCGTTTTGTTTATTTATGAGGAAAAAAAAGCGTTGTTTTCCTAAACCTAATTTTGGTTCACTTTATATACTCCCTTGTGTCAGTGGCGTTCAATAGTTGAAGTCTATAAAAATGTCTTGATTTTTATATTAGATGTTTTAGAATTTCGATTTCAGCATTATTTTATTGATTGCGGTCACCCGCTGCTGTATTGCATGTGGTCAAAGATTCGAGAAATATTTTATTTGTGAGTATTTCGGTGTTGCCAGCTATGTAGGTACTTTGATGTCTTGCAAATCTTTTTTACGAACAGTTCTCGTAAGTTCTCGGGTGAATTTTTATTTTATTTTTCACACAACCTGATATTAGGAGTATCCATGTAAATGTTTGCCTTACAGAGAACATCTATGTTATTTTTTGGCATAACTATTTATTTATACACATACACATAATTTATTTAAATATGAAATAAAACAGACTATGTATAGGCACATAATTGTTTTTCTGATACAGCTTAGTCTAGCTTTTATAGTATCTATATGTTGTTAAAATTTCAAAAGATTAAAAACACATTTTCAGGTTCATCTTGAAAATTGTATAGTAAAAAGATATCAAAACATCAGTTTCTTTTTCCTTATAAACTACTGATGAAAATAATTAGTAATAACAGTTAATAAATGTATTTTAAAAAAAGTGCCATACAATGTTGTGAGTGCATACACATTAAACGGCCAATGGAATCAAAATATTTTGTATAGCATTGGAAAATATTTGTGATTTGGAGACGTTTTTAATAAATAGAACAGATATTGTATCGTTTTTGTTTTGAGTTACATCCATCCCATTACCCTTCAAGTTGTGTAAGTTTGTGTTAATATGAACATTGCTTATTTATATTTATTACTTACCTCACAGTTTCTTTTTATTCTGTTAACTAAATGTATTTATAAGTATGGATGCCCAACATTTGCTGTCACATGGCTACCCCTTTGCTGTCCCTTTAACTATTCGCCATTATATATTTCATCACTGATATTTAAGAACACATATGAATAAGTAGGTACATCATGTTATTAAGTTAATTCGTTATTTGGAGACCCCTTCATCAGTTTCTGTGAATCCGAAACCCTTTATGAAAAGCTCATCTTTGACAGATTTATGATATAATTTACTCATGTATGTATACAATACATATAATATGTTAAAAAAACATGCGCCAACCTCGTATTTCTGTTCAATTTATACTTTCAATATCTTTAGTCATAAGTATGTGTTCTGACTGCATTATTATTATTATTATTTTTCAATTTTAGATAGTGACAAAATTGTTGATAGTTTTGAAGAATAAAATATCGAGACAAATATTGGTATTTTTATTTATAATTAACAATTCTGGCAACACTCACGTCAGCGATTGAACTTTTAGGAGGGAACGAGAGTGAAGTTATGTGAAATTATTATATAACTCAATATCTATAATAATGGTAGCACTTACTGACCATTTAGAATCCGTAAAAGTTGCAAGAGTTGGAGAAAATTAAACAATGTCGCTGGACGTCGGTTGGCAAGCAGTTGCTTCTGCCCCTGGCATTGCTGACGCCCATGGGTAACGGTAACCACGCACCATCAAGTGAGTCGTATGCTTGTCTACCTACAAGGACCATAAAAAAGTCGCTCTTCGATTTCTTTCGACAAGTACATTGAAATTAGAGTATTTTTTATTGCCTTTTTAGGACGAGCATGCACATCGACAAGCATACACACCTGACGGCCTGACGGTGAATGCTCTTTGCCCATGAAACTCCAGATAAAATAACTTTTCGTTCTACTCATTCATTTTTTATACATTAAAATAATACTGAATACAATAGTTCATTAATACTGGCTTAAACTCCACTATAAATGACACTTCAAGAATTTGTTTGCCATAGTGAAAAACAAGTTTCCTTGATTGTTATAGATTAAAAATATGGTAGATGGTGCTTAAGTATTTCCCAAAAACATCAAATATTAATTTAGTTAATTTATTATTAAAAATAAAACGAAGGTTCTTATAAACATTGTATATTCGATTTAGATATAAGTACGATACATTAACTCTTGATTTATAGAATAAATTTCTGATTGAGATTCACATTTATTTGCTATCTTTAGGAGCATATTTACAACCTCTACATTGAAAATTAAACTAAAGAGAAAAGATTTCACTTTTAATATAAATGGACCAAAAAATGCAGTATTATTATAATAATTTTGTAAATTCGATTAGTGTTATATGTTTGTCGTAAAGACTAGGACAACCAGCACAAAATGTGGGATAGCTTCATGACAGCAACATAAAAACATTAAGAAGATAGAGATATTAAGGCAGAAGTCGAATTTTGCATTTCTATTTCTTATCATCTTCTTTCATTAACAAATGTGAAAATATTTTTCTGATCAATTTCGTTAATTTTACAACGTAATAAAGATTTAGGCAACTTTTGTGCTGAAGTGTATGTTTCCCTAAAGAGAACACCTACGTACCGCAGAATACAACTTGTTCTATTCATCTATATATATTGTATTATCAATATTTATAAGTCCAAATCTACACCTATCAAACAGTGACAAAATTTTAATACTTCATGTTAGTTTTTTACATATTCATTCAGTGAAGCACATTAAAATTTTAAAATACACCAAGATCATACCGTATCATACTAGAAATGTAAATAATCTATTAAGAATTTCCTGCTTTTTAAAATTACATTACTCAATAATATAAAAAAAAAACATCTATTAGTATTTCATAATCATAACAATCTTTCATTTTAAAGTAAAACAGAGCTATAAAATGTCAAAGGTTTTTTTCTTTCATAAAGTTAATAATCATGACTTATAACGAATTAAAACTATCACAGTTTAAGGTATAGTTTAATTATGTGTGAACAATCAACAATGAACTTAAATATAAGTAATTGAGGTAAACGCAATTAAATACTTTTCTGTATCGAATGAAGGACTAACTTTTTCTGGAAGCCTGGTGGTCTGAATATCAAAGGCCTACAAGGATTAACTAATTGTGCGTGTTATAGACCTATTTGTTTATTATTTAGTGAAGTCGTCGTGGCCTAAAGGATATGATGTCCGGTGCATTCGTGCTGAGTGATGCACCGGTGTTCGGATCCCAAGTGGGTACCAATTTTTCTAATGAAATACCTACTTAACAAATGTTTATAGCCCGAGAGCCCGTGGGATCTACCTGTATGTATTTGACCAGACCTGAATTTTCGTACATTGAGACCCCTATACCAACCATGCATGAGGTGGGGACTCACTAAGCTCAAAGTGGTCGACGCGCCGAGCGCTCAGGTAGGACAGGTACCGATTTTGACGGATTTTAAATCCATTTGACCACGTCTGCCGTTTTGAAATTTTGAAAATATATGGTTATTATTATCAGAAAATAAGAATGGCAGACCATTATCGCGCATTTTACTTTGTGGCAGACCACTTTGAAAATGCTAAATTGCATTGAAAATGCAAAATTTTGAAAGTAATTGACTAGATCTGCCATTGATTTAATAATATGTTGTTTATTATAGTCTTAAAAACTTATATTGATCACGGCAGACCTCTACATTGCGTACATACATCAACATATAATAAAATCTTAGCTACTACCCGGCCAGATGTATATTATGTTTTCCGTTCACTGTTTTAGAGGAATATAATTTACTTGCGATTTACTTTAGCAATGTATTTACCGAAATTAATATTTTTTTATATTATATATACTAAACTTCATTAGTTAGACAATTAAGAAGTGAATTTTTTATGGAATAATTATAAATAATACGGTACAATGCTGATCAAAAAAGAATTCAATTCCTCATTTTTATTTCGTCAAGACAAAATTTAAAAGTGTTAAATCAGTTAAAAAAATATATCATGCATGCATTACATATTATATATATATATCAATCTTCATTCATCATCATCATCATCGGAGTCATCTTTATCGTTAGGCGACTCGTCTTCATCAACCATTGAATCGAATACTGCAAAAATAAAACATAAATTGTAAAATGAACGTAAATTCATCTGAACATGTTCGAGAAAGAATTGTTATCAACTTACCAGGAACATTGGTGATTAAGTCACTCACAAAATATGGAAGTTGGTCACCTTCGAACCCTTTGAAGGCATATATGTTGTCCTGCTCAATCCAACCATACTCCAATGGGTCTAAAGTTGTGAGTTGCTTTTTGTAAGCATTTCTCCAAATAGAAGAAATATAGTGGGCCCTCAAAAGTTGTTGATAAAGCTCACTCTTATGCGGTGGTATTGAGCTTGCCTCAAATTTTTGATTTTTTTTTCTATAATTTTCATTGATGTCTGAATATTTATAGTTGCTAACGAATAGCTGGAACCTTCCATCATCTACATCACTAGATTTTTTGGCATTGTATAGCTGGCAAGTTAAATGTTGAATGATAAAAATGAGGAATTGAATTATTTTTTGATCAGCATTATACCGTATTATTTATAATTATTCCATAAAAAATTCACTTCTTTATTGTCTAACTAATGAAGTTTAGTATATAGAATATAAAAAAATATTAATTTCGGTAAATACATTGCTAAAGTAAATCGCAAGTAAATTATATTCCTCTAAAACAGTGAACGGAAAACATAATATACATCTGGCCGGGTAGTAGCTAAGATTTTATTATATGTTGATGTATGTACGCAATGTAGAGGTCTGCCGTGATCAATATAAGTTTTTAAGACTATAATAAACAACATATTATTAAATCAATGGCAGATCTAGTCAATTACTTTCAAAATTTTGCATTTTCAATGCAATTTAGCATTTTCAAAGTGGTCTGCCACAAAGTAAAATGCGCGATAATGGTCTGCCATTCTTATTTTCCGATAATAATAATCATATATTTTCAAAATTTCAAAACGGCAGACGTGGTCAAATGGATTTAAAATCCGTCAAAATCGGTACCTGTCCTACCTGAGCGCTCGGCGCGTCGACCACTTTGAGCTTAATGAGTCCCCACCTCATGCATGGTAGGTATAGGAGTCTCAATGTACGAAAATTCAGGTCTGGTCAAATACATACAGGTAGAGCCCACGGGCTCTTGGGCTATTACTATTGACTTCCATGTTGAAGGAATAACATCGTGGAACAAAAATCAAAACCGCAAAATTATAATTATCGTAATTACTGGTGGTAGCACCTCTTGTGAGTCTGCACGGGTAGGTACCACCACCCTGCCTATTTCTGCCGTGAAGCAGTAATGCGTTTCGATTTGAAGGTTGGGGCAGCCGTTGTAACTATACTGAGACCTTATAACTCAATCTGAAGGTGGATGTGGCCATTTACGTTGTAGATGTCTATGGGCTCCGGTAATCACTTAACACCAGGTGGGCTGAGCTCTTCCACCCATCTATGCAATAAAAAATAAAATAAAAATTATTTAGGTACCTACTATAACTTTGGTAAAATAACTAAAATTACGTTCAATAATAAAATAATCATTATAATTTGTTTACAGCTTATAATATGATGAACTTCATGAACCACCCAACTATGTACCTGAGTACCTGAGCTTGCCGATCAAGGGTTTAAATTTTTTTAGTGAAAACCGCACAATTTACATTTATGCACTAAGTCATCTTCTCTCATAATTAATTTAAATTTATTAGTATTTACTATAATATCATAAAATTACCTTGTAGTGCACAGTGTAAGCTATGATGGCACACACAGCCATCGCTACATACATGTGAAGTGTTGTGTCGTGTCAAACTTTACTGATTTCAGTTTCTGCATCGTTTTTGATACTTTGATTGTTATTAAATATTTATTGAGATGTATACTTGTTGTTCCAACTGTACACAGCTGACTTTTAATACTTATTAAACTATGACTTACCTATGACTAGAGTTTAATAGTTAACTAAAGACTTTACAATCTTAGTATATTTGAGCGGGAATATGAGTTTTTATAATAATATCAGTTATACAGGACAATAAAATTTGAAGACTCAACAGTAACAGACAATACAAATAATGAATAAAAAAATTGACTAAAAACAAAATCGTATAATCGACAAGACAATTTAAAATCGTGCCAGATTTAATGGTAAATACATCATTGTCGCGTTCAAAATTATTCTGGACTTCATTTAAGCAAAATTTGTCTATATATTTTTTGCAACACGAGTGCGTAAGTAAAGTATTAAAGTCATAAATATTTTATTTACAGCCATTTATTTTGGTGCAAAAAACGAATTAATACAGGTACCCCATTTCGAAAAAGAAATCATTTGCTGTTCATATTTCTAAGATTTAAAAATTATACAAACTATTTGACTTTAACCAATAAATACACTTACTTTTTATTCAATCAATAATTAAGAATCAATGTGCATGTGAAAGTTTTTTCGTTATAAACACGTAATAATGTACTAAGTATATATATTTGCTAAATATGGTAAAATTCGAGTATCTGGCAGTTATCGTTCGAAATTTTATTTGCTAAATGCTTATTACAAAATTCTCTAAATATTACTTTACATAGTTATTAATTAAACTTCTAGAACGAATATAATCTATCGGAATTATTTTCGCTTTTAAAATGTGCGCTAGTTTATTAATCTTAAGAAGATTTATTATTAGATTTATTGATTCTCATGTAATTGATTATGTTAGAAGTTGCATTACAATATAACTTCTGCTACTTTCAATTCCGAAATGGGCACACAACCAGTTACACTAAAACAAATTTAGGTAACTCTTAAAATTAGCTAATAACAACATAAATTTTATTCTGGCAACATTGATATTCAAGTATTGCCATTTTGAAAACAACAAGCTTTGCTTCACTAGACGGATCGTTCAATAAACAAGACATAAATTATTTTAATATATTTATAAAAGTACCTCGGGCCTTAAGTTTCTTTTTCGTTTCGTGAATGATTACCATTTGGAGATGCAAACGTGACGTTGCCGTTTGGTAAGGGATGCTGTGGTCCACCGAGAAACGATGTGAATGTTGTATCGCGACTCATCGGTGGTTCCAATCCTTCTATAGGTATGCAGTCGAGAGTTGGAACAGTGTACTCCCTGTAATAGAGTTAAGTATATTATTTTACAGATATTTTAAATAATTTACATTTGTATAATGGTTTTGAGTTCCCAATCGGAGTAATTTGCCAGTATCTTTAATAAATACATTTAACAGTGTTAGAGTTTTTCTAATTTATTGTTTTTGTTTTGTCTGTGGGATTGATACTATTGCCTGGAAAAAATCTTGGCTTGAAGTCAAATATAGAATATCAATGAGTTTTTATTCAAATTGAATTTTAAAAAGCAAAATGAAAATGTCTATAAGAATCTACAATAATGAAAATGTTTCACGTTTGTGAAGCTACAGTAGGAGGTATTTTATATTAATTAAAACTAACATTGACACATTATCTTGCGACTGAACTGAATCGTTGACGAGCTGGGGCAGACGTTCAGGGGGAGTTGGCTCTGGCGTCGACGTAGAGCGACTGCTGAATAGAAACACTCCAACCATCGCCAGTAAATATGATAGGAAATATAGAGCATGGAACTGTAACAATATAATAATTATTCAATATAATTGAATATGCCATTTCGAAAAGGACACATGTCGCAAATTTTTTCAAATATTTTTTTTTTATATACCTACATGTAGTTTTGAGGCTTACCTACACCCATTTTATAATAATACCAGTAATTTTCAATTGCTAATGAACACTAAAATATATCTCAAAAGTTAATATTTTAAATTATACACTGCTTTAGAAAATAATCAGTTTTTTTTTATTTCCTGAACATTCTACATTTTCAGAGATGTGCCCTTTTCGAAATTGCATATTCAATTAAACATCAATAACATGATTACTTTGCTCCTGATTTTGATCCTGGGTGAATTGGAGGAATCATTTGACATTGCACTGCAGAGAAGTACTGCATGTTCTGGTTTGATAAGATAGCCACGATTGAAGTCGTCGTGGCCTAAAGGATAATTCGTATCGAGCGATGCACCGGTGTTCGAATCCCGCAGGCGGGTACCAATTTTTCTAATGAAATACGTACTCAACAAATGTTCACGATTGACTTCCACGGTAAAGGAATAACATCGTGCAGTAAAAATCAAACCCGCAAAATTATAATTTGCGTAATTACTGGTGGTAGGACCTCTTGTGAGTCCGCAGGGGTAGGTACCACCGCCCCGCCTATTTCTGCCGTGAAGCAGTAATGCGTTTCGGTTTGAAGGGTGGGGCAGCCGTTGTGACTATACTGAGACCTTAGAACTATATCTCAAGGTGTGTGGCGCATTTACGTTGTAGATGTCTATGGGCTCCAGTAACCACTTAACACCAGGTGGGCTGTGAGCTCGTCCACACATATAAGGAATAAAAAAAAAATTTTTAAAGCAGTTTCAAGTAAAATTCTCAAATCTAAATGGAGCAACATTTTTTGGCATTGTAGTTTAAAGTTTCCAATTATCTTTTATAATAATGTTAACCTAGCCATATTAATTTAACGTACATAATATTGAATTCTTATCTAACACTAAAAAAACAATTAGAAATTAATATGGATAGTTAAACTTACCTTAAACTGAAATATATACATGCCAGCGATCACAGTGTAATAGTCAGCGGACAGGAATGATAGATGCAATAAAATAGACCCAGCATCTCTCAGCATAAAACATTGTAATATCTGGAATATTGTTTGTACTGTGCAGTAGCTTCCCAATTGCACAATCGTCTCTAACTCATACCAGTTAAAGTTCATCAATTCAAGGAATTCCAGAAAGAATGTTTGAGTGCAAGATACAAAGCTACCCACAATACCGAGAATCGCTAAATAGTCTGAGCATGTATGAGTTTTGAGCATCAGTTCTTGAAGCACTGTGACTGTTGCAAACAATAATGATCCACCAAGGCATAGCATATCGCCTACTAATTGATTTTTACCTGAAAAATATCAAATTCATTTTCAGAATATTTTAACTTATTTCAGTAACTGCATGATTTAATAAAGGGTACACATGCATCAAATAAACACAACAAGTACTTCAATTACATTATTAATTACGACAAAAACATTGTAATACACAAAAAAATATTACTCCAATCAAAGTAATTAAATTATTTTCCAAGCAATTTAAAGTAATATTCAATTATGCTAGCAAAAGCTAGGACAACTTAAGTTGGCATTGCACTAGTATAACCTGGTAACCACTTTATAACAGTAACCACTCTACTGTGTGTTTATTGTCTAATTAGATTCACTCATCAGGGACATCAATAAAAATGTTACCAATCTACCTAAGAATGAAAGAATGTTACCATCAGTAGGAGCACCCTCAACATCAGCCCACACAACGCAGACTACAGCCATCAGGCCAAGGGTGGCTCCAGCAACATGAGAAACACCAAGTCTCTGACCACTCCAAGCACCACCGACCAGTGCTGCACCAACACCACTGCATGCTAACAGCTGTCAGCTCAACACTGATGTAAACCTCTGTGACATGACTAGCAGCCAGCCAGCTTCCACGTCAAGAACACAGGCAATGATGAGTACCCACCATCTTCTAACAACAAAATTCATTTCATTAGTTGCATTGCCCAATTAACTACTAAATATGGAATCTTTTATTGAAATGAAATACATGATTTCTATACCTAGGTATGTAATTATTTTTTTGTTTCATCTCTTTTTTAAGTAGAAATACTTGATTATTATTTAACATTTACTTTTTTATTTAACTATCTATTCAGACAGTCATCTTTGAATTGAACATTGAAAATTTAAAGGTTAATTAGGCCAGCTACCATTCCATTTCTTGTATTAATAAAGAAAAAAGCAAAACACACAACAGAATGCACAGAGCTTTCCAACATGTCACAGCTGATACTAGCTTGAATTAAGAAATGTTTTTATACTTTATTTTGCTGACTAATAAAAAGAGTAGAGCGGGAAGTTATCCCAAAGCAAAAGAATAAGAGAAAATTATCTCGATAAATGTAACATTTTATAGTTAAATTTAAATATTGGTTACTTCCACATTTGTAGTAAGAAGATATTAAGAAAACTTAGCGCACTCACCATTGAACATAAGATAGTAATAGTACCTAGTAAGTTTAATTATTTTAGTCTTGTCTTATACTTCTTTCAATAATAGAACTGGTTTAAAAGACGATATTTTTCATGTCTTAAAATTGAATTGGAACTTACTTCGTTAGCTTCTCCAGCCCGGTACAAAGTAGGCTCGGGGTAAAGAGTACAAACAGTACTAAATACGGCACGACCAGCTGCCCCGTGATAGGAAACTGCCAGGTTGCGCTTTGTAACATTGTTGTTAATATACATTTGCCGCTCAGAAATAAGGATAACACTTGACCAAGCAGTATGCTCCTCCACACTTTCCTGAAAATGCACACTTAGTTAGTTTAAGGACGTTTACCCAAAAAATATTTTATTTATTTATTTATTGATACTAGCCATCGCCCAAGTTCCGAGAAATAAATCTCGACTTTATCACTGAAACTTGACGTTTCCATTGTTTCAGTGAAAGATATTCCGAAAGTTTACTCAGCTAATTTACTGTTAAAATAGATTCAATAGTTTAAAGGGTTTAATATAGCAGTTATTCATCATTTCCTGAACAATGGATCGAAATTCGAAAGGCAAAACAACATGTGAATTGTGGTTGTGACATCTGTTTTTTTTTCTTGTTTGGCAGGCATCTCATAATAGTCTGTGGTTTTCTTTCGTCCATTGAATGAGCAAAGGGAAAATAGCCGATCAAAATCTTTTAATTAAAATAAAAAGGTTAAGCTTTGTGTTCTTAAAATCTTAAGAATTTAATCAGCGTTCAATTAAATTTTGAGATCTCAAGAAACCACGGTCAGCAATTTTGTTTCAATCAATTTTGACAGGAATGTGAAATAGTAAAGTTGTAATACTGTGTGAATGTTTTATTTAGTTTAGTTTTCTTCATCTTTAAATATAAAAATAGTTATCGTCTTATTTATATCATTTCATTTTTTATGCAACAGATATGATTTCAGGCTTTGTCGTAAAATATTTAGATAAAAAGAAGAGCATTTTTAACTTATGAGAATGTCTCCTTTGCCTATGAGTTGGATAAAAAAAACTTTTTTTTTATTAATAATTTAACCTGCCAAAATTTGGAGATAAAATATTTTTAATTTTTCTTGATTTTTGTAAATAAAACACACAAGTTAGCACTTACATATAAAGAACAAGGATAAATTTGAATTCGCTTATGATAAGATTATTTTGTAGAATACAAACATTACCTAACAATTTATAAGGCAAACTCGGACGAGATCATAATTTCATTTGAATTTTACTCCAAACATAATGGGTGACGGTAAATAACTTTACCTAAGAATACAAAACTACTCAAAAACAAATACTATTTCAATACTCATTGGTTATTTCCAGAAGATGTGATTCGTAGAAGACTTCTGATCGACGGTGACGGTACTGGAGACGACAGGAGACTGAATGTACTTTTAAAAACTTTGATAAAATGGTGCAATACAACGGATGACAAACCGGAAGAAAGGTTGGTTTTAATAAATAGTACCGTATTAGGACGTATTGTGAGCTCACATGCGTAAACACTGTTCCACTTCCGAATTATCATAGCTTCCGCATTGATCATAGCTTCCAATTTGAAGGGTAGAATTGCCATTGTAAATTCAATTGAAACTTCTATCTCGTGTCCCAAAGGTTCTGGTAAGCATTTAATACCAGCAGGGAAATGTTGGCATCTGTTTATCTATAATAAAGAGCCTTAATATTCAATTAAGTGTTCATTAACCTTTTCATTTATTCCCCATATACATTTGTTGTTTTATTATGAGAATAAAAATCTGCAGTCAAAATGTAAGTTTTTGTAGTTCCAGAATATGTAATACGATTAAGATTTCTCGTTTTAGTAAAGCTACTCATGATCGTATGTTAGCTCAACTGGCACAATGCGAATTTGCTGTCACAAAATCGCAACTCGGTTCTGAAATGATGGCTGCTGAATTAAAAAGCTACGAAGCACTCTCGAAAATTCTAGAAAGCGGAATAGAGGTGGCCAAAGAGAACATACAGAAGAGCAAAACAGATTTAGCACAAGCAAAGACTGTCAGAAAAAACAGAATAGAATATGATGTCTTGGCTAAGGTTATCAGTGAACAGCCTGATCGTAAGGAAACCTCTGAGAGATTGAGCACTCTGAAGACTGAACTAGCAAACTTGGAAACCACCAAACAGCAATTGGAAAGTCGGTTAGCATTACGAAAGAAACAATTTCATGTGCTTGTAACTTCAATACATCAATTACAAGCATTATTAGATGAACTAGATGATGCAGAGACTATTTGTGATGATGTTGATATGAAAGAAATATCAAATGAATCATAATAATGAGTGATGTATTAGAGTATAAGATTATTTCTCTATGTGAGATTTCTAATAAAGTATGAATTTTCTACTTGATTTTTTGTTTACATTTTCAGTACTGTAAAATGGGGAGAATTGGGACACTTTTTAAGTTCGACATTGATTTGTATAGTTTTTTTTTGTTTTAGTAATAAAACGGAGATCATAATGGTTCTGGAGGCTTAAATATTTATATACAATGCGTTACTATACATTGTTCACTACAAAAATACACAAAAACTGAAAAAAATAGCTTGACCCCATTCACCTTGGCTTTGGGGTTGAATCAGGTTACGTAGGGGCCCGCGATCTGGACGGGACCTTCAGCCCGCAATGATTGCGTGCTGTGGGTCTCGTCTGCGGGGGAGATGCTGGACTTCCACCAGGCGCGTCCGTGGGTGGCGGATCACGGGATCCTCTGGGCGACATTCCCAGAGGTATGGTCCGATCTTTTTCGTTGCGAGGATTCTTAGGTTTAGGATTAGGTTTAGATGTAGGTTAAAGTCCTAGGTTTAGGATTAGGATAGTTTAGCTAGGCTTTGCCTGGTAGATCCTTTGTTGTTTTCATGACTTGTCCAAAAGTCACACTACATAGTGATCTAATGCAAACATTAAATTATGAATCGCAAATACCTTTTTTTTGTTTTAAATGGTTTCTATAAGGTTTACCTACGGTATGTAATCAAGTCGTGAAAGTGTTGTCACATCAAAAATCCCAGAAAATATCTGGTTGAAAGAAATAGCAAAAAATTTATAATAGAATACCAAACTTCCAATAAAAAAGCTAACCGGTGGTGATCGAGATATATGATTAATTGTTAAAAAGTGTTCCGTCGTTTGTGGTCTTTACAACGCCATAGGGACAGCTAAATGGCTACCATTCCATTCAGGACTATAACCGCTCAACTCAAGATAGGTCGTAAATACTTTGGACGATGTACACCATTAAATAGAAAACACACCCTATTTAAACACATTAAATTATTTAAATTAATTTGTCATCAATAAAGTGCTTTATAATCGTCAGTAGACCGTGACCACTAAGGCTGTAAGTCTTCGAAACATAGGAAATAGTATAATGACAGAAAAAAGTCAGATGAAACCTTAAAAGTAGTTGTAGTTGTGTCTGCGATTCGCGAAAACTTTTCTCTGCCTATTCGCTGAAAGCTTAAGAAGCTATTCCAGCTAAGTGCGGACGGTTCGGTGAGCTCACGGGCTCAATCCGAGAGAATTGGCTAACACTAGCTTTAGCAAGAGTAGTGCTTCGCTGAATTCACGACCTGATCGCGATCCATTGAGAAGGTCCGGCGAGAAACTCAGTGGGCTGTGTCTATGGGGCGAAAACTGAATAATATACTACAATTATTTCAAGGTGAAACAGCAGAGTTAGAGTAGTTAAGTTCGCAACAGACCTAATCTGTGTTGCGTGTCGAAAGCCTCATTAAGCGCAGGTACTAAGTAGGTATAGTATATGTAGTATATGTATAATATATTTATGTATACGAGTATTTACCTAAATAATGATTTAAGGTACACCCCGGAGTAGAAAAGCTCCTGTACTAACAACATTAACGCGCACAAACACCCCGAATGTAATTTAATATTCCGGCCCGTAACTAAAATTCTGTGTATTTTTTACTCTTACGAATAATTCACTTGTTTTTAACCGACTTCAAAAAAGGAAGATGTTCTCAATTCGACTTTTTTTTCTTAAATTTTTTATATACATATAATAGGATTTAAAATAGATACAGAAGTAATGGAACGACTTTTTTTATTAAAGTCAATTATTAACGGCTGATTTTAGACATTGATTAGCAGTTAAGTTGCTACCGCAATCTTGCATCCTTGAAGCACTATATTCGTGATACTCATACTCATACGATTATGTCAGTGTTCAAATGCCGCAGGTTAGACCAAATTTCCTAAGGAAAAAGGTACTTGACGCGTGAGATGACCGTGAGACCAGATGAGACTTTTTTAATATAAATACATACCTGTAAAGCTATTTGTTTATGATAAGAAGGCTGGTGGAACCTACCCGTGCGGGTTCGCAAGACGGGCGACTACGAGTAAAAACCTTTTTACCGAATTGAAAAAAAATAAGTTCAGAAAATGATGTTTGCGGATCTTCATAATTTAGGAAGCACATAAACGACTGTACGGTGGGGTTAGCATAAAATTTTCATTCAATCCTCGGACGTGAAAATGTCATGTTCGCGTGCCTCCGAAAAAAGTTTCAAGAATCCCCTGCGGCATAGAGCGGAATGTCAATATAAACTAACATTAATTATTTAAAAATCCACCCGCGGAAAGTAGGTACAGTAATACGAAATAGTGCCTACAAGCATTTATGTGTGTGTCGTGTTTACGATTTTATCTGCAAATCGATCGTGTTCAAATTGTTTGACGCGTATATGAATAAAAACGTTTGCTGTCGTATTTGAAGTGTATGAATGGCTTGTACAATTTCAATTGGAAAAAGATATTGAAATTTTGGGTCGTTGATATGGATGGCCACTTAGAACTGGTGCAATTAGGTTTTTTTTTATTGCTCAGATTTGTGGACGAGCTCACAGCCCACCTGGTGTTAAGTGGTTACTGGAGCCCATAGACATCTACAACGTAAATGCGCCACACACCTAGAGATATAAGTGCTAAGGTCTCAGTATAATTACAACGGCTGCCCTACCCTTCAAATCGAAACGCATTACTGCTTCACGGCAGAAATAGGATGGGCGGTGGTACCTACCCGTGCGGACTCACAAGAGGTCCTACCACCAGTAAAACCACCAGTAGGTATTCAGTTTACGGAGTGTCTTCACGAGTGCTCCCACATTCAATTATGTTGGTTATATAAGGTATATACGTATATGGGAAATGTTTTACAAGTCACGCTGATTGAGGTATGCATAGTACTTGGAAATAATTGATGAGGATAGAGCTCTAAAAATAGGTTTCAAGAGAAGAAGATCTAGATCTCGGGCTAAGAAGCTTTGGAGGGAATCAGTGAAGAGAGGTCTTAAACAAATGGAAAAAATTACATCCCGGCAGGGCGAAACAAAAAAGATTCGACAGGATCAGTCACCATTTAACAACGGAAAAGATTAAATAAGTGGAAGACGTTTTGGTAAATTAATACAGGTGGTATATATGTGGGTTCCAATTTGGTAGTACACTTGGCACTGCTGATGGGCGATGGTGACTATCAACCCTCAGATGGGCCGTATCCTCGTTTTTCTACAACGACAAATAAAAAAAAAGTAAAAATTTTAGAGCTGTAGATACGGTAACACAAAAAAAGTCATTTCAAAAAGGACCCGCATGTTCCATCGTCTAGTTCAAGACGAATATGTGACTCAGGTCTTTCTGAGGCTATCGGCAAGAAACTCTTACTATTACATACGAACTCAACGCTTTTTTCAACCAGAGTACTCCAGACTTTACTAATATTAGTTTTGTACTCGAAAATCAAACAGCGCGCAAGTTTTTACGCAGGGCATATAAACGTTCACGGCATTACTGTGAAAGCAGAAGGGCGGACCGCACGCGACCCTCTCGTACAACTTACGAAAGTTACGGACGCGATTCATAAAATAAAATGCCTTCCTGGTGGGACTACCTGCAGTTCAATAGGCAGTACAACAACAAGAGAAACTTAGAGGAAGGCTTATTTCAGATCGCTTCGCAGACTTGCAATATTTTAGTGAAAGTCAACAATACGAACAATATTAATTTGACCAGGAATTCTAGTAGAAGTGACGAATATGGGTGTGCTGGTCCACCTAAAGGGAAGAGTTCGATGCAGATCTGCGTTCCTAAGTTCAGAAAAAATTCAATAACTTCCGGCTGCAATCCTGGACTATCGGTAAGTTATATATTTTTCTAAACTTTGACAAAGCTAAGATGATAAGTATTAAATAAGTATAATAATAAGTATTTAAACACGGATATTTTTTTTAAAGCAAACGGTTTCGGGGGTTCGTCTTAGTGTAAGACAAACTTAAGTGGCAAACTTTATAATCAGTGACTTTATAAGTAATAACTTTCGTCATTATGTTAAAGATGCATAGGCGCGCGGGGCATGTGCAGTTCACATTCATTGTCGATCGGCATTAAACGATAACACATTCGCATCATTGCAAATATAAAGTGCATAGTGGCGTGTCGCGTGTGACGACAGAAGAAGAACAACAAACTGATTCGTTTTGAGGTAAGTTTATTATTTAACAGTTTACCCGTTCTGTTGTTTATCATATTTGTGTTTTGTGGTGGCGTGCTGCTGTGCGATTGTGGGCAGTATATCGATTTTACTAGTTGGAAGACATAGCGGCCGCAGCAGACGACGTCGGGCCTCGCTGTCCGACCTTGCTCCAATTATTTACCGGCAAATCAAATAATTTCGATTGTTTTTTTTTCTGTTTGGAAAACGTTCATGAAAAACGTTCCGTGCGTACGCTAATTAACTTTATTTATAATTTATTATTTATTTTTTTTCAATTGGGAGTCTGCACGGGTTGCTGTGGTCGTTTTGCTTCTGTTGGAAAACGTTGAAGCTCGGTGCAGACATTTGTAATAATGTAATGAAAACTTTTATTATTTCATCTCTTTTCACACCACTTTTATGAGCGCTAAAATCTCCTTTATTCAAATTTTTTTTATTTTTTTTTATTGCTTCGATGGATGAACGAGCTCACAGCCCACCTGATGTTAAGTGGTTACTGGAGTCCATAGACATGTACAACGTAAATGCGCCACCCACCTCGAGATATAAGTTCTAAGGTCTCAGGTATAGTTACAACGGCTACCCCACCCTTCGAACCGAAACGCATTACTGCTTCACGGCGGAAATAGGCGGGGTGGTGGTACCTACCCGTGCGGACTCCCAAGAGGTCCTACCACCAGTGATTACGCAAATTATAATTTTGCGGGTTTGATTTTTATTACACGATGTTATTCCTTCACCGTGGAAGTCAATCGTGAACATTTGTTGAGTACGTATTTCATTAGAAAAATTGGTACCCGCCTGCGGGATTCGAACACCGGTGCATCGCTTCATACGAATGCACCGGACGTCTTATCCTAAATTATTGTTATGTCTACTGTTTAAAAAAAATAAAGCAGTTAAATATGTCAAAATCTTTACACATACATGGGCTGACGATTCAGCATTACAACCCACGGCCCAAATAAGTTACCAAAGAGCCAAGAAGTTTTGTTATAAATTCGAAAAAGACATCGAGTATAGACGATTTTACTGGTAAATCGAAAAGCAAAAAAGTTTAATTTTCATGGATAATACGCTACACAATTTTAAATATCAATGTATTCTATGTTCTTAACATATAATTGTTTTATTAAATTTAATAGATTTAGAATTTATCTTTTATATGAACTTATCTTTGTTTTTGTTGAATTGTTACATACACTACATACAGTATTGTTCAATAGGTACCAATATTACCACGGTTTTCACATTTAATTAGCTCCTGATATTTCGGCGTTATTGCAAGCGCCATGATCCTGAATAGACTAGTTTTTTTTATACAAACAAAGAGCAAGTTGTCATTCTAAAACACGAATATATCTAAATAATATAAGAATTTCATTTTAACACTGAGCTTTACCTATATGGAAAATTTATGCAAACGGAAAATTAAATGGGCACCTTTCGTAGTGCTTGTACGCTACTCTGAAATTGTGCTCTCAGCAAAACGATTCGGTTGAACCTAAAATGGGTTCGTATTGCTTGCAGCAATTTCGCTCCGAAATATTCCGGTGCTATGTAATGTAAATTCGGACGACACTTCTAAGGCGTTCGGCTTTGTGAAACTGTATACATATTTAAAACCATAGACTATATTTTGAACTTTGATTCAGGTAATACTTAAAATATTTATTGAGTCTAAAACGGCTGGAAAGAAGGAATAGACAAAGAAATGTGGTTTTGAGCCACAAAAGTCAAGCGTTGACAAGCATTTACCAAGTAAGATTTTGAATGACATTTTTGTACTTTATCGTAGTTGTATTATACTACATATTATAATAACGAATACAGTTTCAAATTATAAGCCTAAAATTTCTTCTTGCCAAGTACGTATGCTGCTATTGCCATTATTAGCAAAGACGTTATGTTATTATATATCCCTTTTTATTCCCGCTAAATTATCATTCTATCGTTTAATTATAATGATTCTTGAATTGGTCATATAGTTTCGAATCCTCCGATATATATTTATGGCATCCGGAATAATTATAATTTTGCGGGTTTGATTTTTATTACACAATATTATTCATCGTGGAAATCAATCGTAAACATTTTCTAAAATACCTATTTCATTGAAAAGTTGGTATCCGCCTGCGGGATTCGAAAACCGTTGCATCGCTAGACACAAATGCACCGGACGTCTTATCTTTTAGGCCACGACGACTTCAATGTATGTATGTGTATAAGATATTACTGGTAGGACGTCTTCTGAGCCCGCACGGGTATCAATATTTCTATTGTGAAGCTGTTGTTGTTGATGTCTATGGGCTCCTGAAGCTAAACCCATCTAAGTAATAAAAAAGTCACAAGAGATAGCATTAGCCAGTGATAAAATTCAATCAGGGCATCCCTTTTTAAACATAATCCAAGTCCCAATATACCCATTCAAACTCAATCTAACGTTTTCCCCTCTATAAAGGCGAGTTTTTAAGTTATTGTTATGCTTACACACGTTCCGGCCTTCAGTTTTATAGACTATACTAAAGTTAAAAAAAACACACACACACTCAAAATAATTAAAACATTAAGGTAACGAATGATGATTGTATCAAATAGAGTACTAGCGAATAGAGACTGTATTTTAACCATAAAAATTTGAATCAACTAATAAATTTTTATATCAATCTTTTAAATCGATTAATTAATTTTTATATCAATCTTTTAAATCAATTAATTAATTTTTATATCAATCTTTTAAATCAATTAATTTAATGAATTTAAATCTTTTTTTTTTTTAAATATACATAATTAACTGTAGAATAATTATTAAAAGTACTTTTACGACAGTCGTCGGTGAACACTAAAACTGTAACTGTAATTATGTGTTCAAAACGTCGCATAGAATACACAATAATATAATGACAATAAAAATCCGAGATTAAACGCGTTAAAGTAACTTTCATGACATTTACGATTCGCGGAAACAGAAGAAAATACTAAACTAGATTAATTATTATATTATTTTCGTCTTGCGTTTGAAATGGACAGATCTGTCTTAGCTCATTGAAGACTATAGCTAGCCGCAGTGTCGCCGTCTGTTTGTGAGATAAGCTTGAAGTGTCAATTGTGTTGGTAAATCTTATTTTGCCGGCTTCATTTCTTTGCGCGCATGACGCGAAAATGGATAAAGTTTTGTAGAGCGATACATATCTGATAATATTTAGGAATCAAACAATTAATGTTTTTTTTTTTCTAAGATGGGTGGAGGTGTTCATAATTCCTCTGGTATTCAGTGTTCAACGAAGCCCGTAGACATCTACAACGTAAATGCCGCCATCCGCCTTCAGACATGAGTTCTAAGGTCTCAGTTTAACTAATACAACGACTACCCTTCAAAACGCACTACTGCTTCACGGCCTACCTACCCGTGCAGGCTCCCAAGACACCCTACCACCAGTAAAAAGCATACATATTAACTTATGACAAACCAAAGGTAATTTATCCAACGCAATTAAAAACTCTTTGAAGGTGATCAATATTGACAAGCTAATTGCGGCCTGTCAATACGCCATTGCTTTAACGTCGGAAAATTAATTGCATTAACCAATCGCGTGTTCACGGTGTTACATCGATTAATCCCCTTTCTATGAATATTGCTTTGAGGTCGGCCTGCATTGTAAGTAATACGATGATTAAGCATTTTCATTGGAATTCAAACGAATTCTGACGTATTTTACGGCATACCAGTTTCGTTTGTGGATAAAAAATTCAAACTGGTTTTGCTCGTGTAAATGTTAATTTTAATCCACGTACTATAATATTAGAAAAAAAAAAACAATATTCATCCATCAAGCCCAGTTGGGTGCATTACAAAAAAACCATTATGCACTATACTTATAAAGGGGATAGAGTTATGCATTTTGGATCCAAAGTTGGATACTCGATTATCGAATATACGTAGAAACTTAAAAGCAGCTGAGCTGATAGATCCAATTATGATAATTCAGAGTGAGATACTGTTATTGAAGCTGAAATGGGAATAAGCTGCTTCTTTGACGTGAACGGAAACTAGTACTGACTCTGCACTTTGTCGACATGCTCTGCACGGCATAGCCAACAAATTTCTAAAACATGATTTTGAACGTAGAATACATAAAACTATCTAAATAAATTTAAAAGTACATCTAAATTCAATTGTTACATTATGCTTCGATTTAACGATATTAAGAACCAACTTCCATAGATTTGATATATATAATCTATAATCTAATCTATAATTAGCAATAAATTAACTAACCTTATCTTTAGATGGACGTGCAGGGTTCAAATAATAAAACTCGAATGACGTCAATTGATTGACAAAGGCGTATTATTATCCTGTTTAATCTGAGAGACAAAAGACTAAATTAAACTTAGACTGTTTTGAAATTAAACGAAAGACAACTGCAGATGTTGTGCAGCGGCAAGAGTATGTTTGTGATGCAACATTTGCGTCATGTGTTTTCAATGTTTTGAACAACGGCGCTTGGGTTCTGTGAAAATATAAAATAATCGTAATACGGAAAAGACAACAAAATTAACAAATGGAAAATAGTAGCGGTTTGTGGAAAAATCAGATAAGAACGAGTTTAAATGCTGAACTTAATGAATAGCAGACACGT